TTGTGGTGGAGGAAGCCACTTAAAAGGACTTGTTTGGCTTTGCTGGGTGAATCTGAAAAGGGAAACAGAAAAAAAGGAGTTGAAGGCATGTGCCACGGATGGTTAGAATCCCCCACTGGGATCTCAGCAGGGTAAGAACTCGGGCCAAGATCCATGGAATAAAAGTGTCAAGGGTCAATGGAAGCTGTATACTAGAGGGAGGGAAGTGGAAAGTAGGAGATGGTTCACAAGGGAATGCCTAAAATGAGACCACTGGTAACAGTAGGGTCTAAAACATGCTATTTGTGATCCATGTAGGAAAGGGGACAAGACCATCAGAGGACAACAGGTCAGGGAACTGAAAGGCCATATTGGATGGGTCTTTATAGAAGGACATTGAAATCAGCAAGAATATGTTGTGCCAGGCGAGGTGGCGCACGCCTGTAATCCCAGCAGCTCTGGAGGCTGAGGCAGGAGGATCACAAGTTCAAAGCCAGCCTCAGCAGCTTAGACTCTGTCTCAAAATAAAAAAATAAAATGGGCTGGGGATGTGGCTCAGTGGTTAAGCACAAGTGGGTTCAATCCCTGGAAAGAAAGGCAGAAAGGCAGGTGGTGGACAGTTTGGCAAACAAATACATGAGTGTAGAGTATGACATTAGAAAACCCCACATGATCACTATAGCAGCATCAAGTTCAGGTGGTTAACCATTCACACAGGAAATCCCACCAAAAGGCACCTGATGATACAGCAAGAACACCTACTCACACCGTGGTTTCCAGGTCCAGTCCACATGGACTAAGCTGTCAGGCGCACATGACATGGTGTCAAGCCCCTACTTGGTGCTAGTCAGTTCCTCCAGGAACAAACTGGGAGTCACCCAGCTGGCTCCTAATAGGGGAAGTATCTTGATGTGCTGTTGTCTACTTTCCTAACATTCTGGGTAACATTCCTAACATTCTGACTGAATAAAAGACTTGTTTTATTTTATCTGGGTATGGCCTTACAGTCACTTGAAGAAAATTACTTCCAGGAAAACATCATCTAAGTGAAGAGACATACAGGTCTCCACCCTCTTACTGCTTCAAAGTCTATAAATGCAACTAACTGAACAACCTATTTTTTTTCTTTTTTTTGGGGGGGTGGGGAACTGGGGGTCGAACCCAGGGCATTGCGAATTCAAGTCAGATGCTTTGCCACTGAGCTGCATCCCAGCCCCCTATTTTGTTTTTATGGGTTAGAGTAGGGCTAACACGGATTTTCCTTAATCTGCATATTAGTCACGTCCATAATTTCCTTTTCTTCTTCTTCCTTTTTTTTTATGATACTGGGGACTATATACATGGCTACAAGCTGGGCAAGTGTCTAGTGCTGAGCTATACCCCAAGACCTTTCTATTTTGAGACAGGTGCTGTTAAGTTGGGGAGACTGGCCTTGAGCTTCTGATCCTCCTGCCTCAGCCTCATGGGTCGCTGGGATTACAGGCGTACATCAACATACCTGGTGAATTTCCTTTTTCTTCTTGTCCTTTCAAGTAAGATAGGTGAAATAGGTAGAGAGAGGCTCAAAGGAGGTTCAACAGGAAGTTTAAAAACTATTTTGCAAAATACATCTCTACCAATCTAATAGGAAAAAGACCAGAAAGAAACACACCAAAATGTGAAAACCATCTGTGATAGAATGACTCATGGGTTTGGGGGGCTTCATTCACTTGAATGCATTTTACTACTCATGTCAAGCCAATGTGAAGATGATGGAGGGAACAAGTTAGTGTGGATGTGGACAACTATAAAATAATTTCTAATCAGAGGGTCTGGACATAAAGTATCTGTCTATGGTACACCCTAAGTCTTATGTTTTTGTTTTATTTTGGGGGGAATTATAGTGTGGGTTTTCTAAAATTCATCAAATTTCACAACTTTCTTGCATTGTACAAACTTGGAATTATTTGTATTGAGATATGGTTTATTAAACATAAAGAAATAATTTATTTGCTGAGTAATGGTTTATTACTTAGCACATGTTGACATGGTCCTCCCATCTTAAGCACGGCCCTCAGGACTTAAAATGTTTGGGCTGTTTGGCTCTCTACCACGAAATACAGAGACTTGGGCATTGTACCTGTATATCAACCAACTTATGGCTGCTGATGAAGACCTGTGGAAACGAAGTCCCATGGCCGCAGGCACCATAGTGTGGAGTAAGCACCAAATTGTGCATTGTTCTACATTCGTTACTCCACGTTTGGTTATTTTTTTCAACTTCCAGCTACATCTAGCATTTACTAACATTATAATCACCCTGTGGCCACTTTAAGGCATGCACAGGAACAATGAGCATAGAACTTGGCTGTGGGAGGTTCAGGGGAAGATGGAAGAGTACCATGGCTTTAAATGCCTCTGCCTCCATCATAGCCTGTGGTCTGTGGTGTGAGCTCACTAAACACTTCCCCAGTAATACTGATGAAGGGGAACTCAGCAGAAAAGGAGCAAGGGGACAGGACCGACAGAAAAGTCAGGGTGACTCAGTGGGTAGAGGCCATGGTGAGCTGTGTGTAGGGGGAGCAGCCGAACTGGGGCAGAGATGCATGAGGATAAGCAGGTACTGGATCACCATAGACTTCATGCTGTTCTCAAGAGTTTATCATGAAGGCTTCAGGGAACGGTTTCTTTCTTCTTTGAAACTGGGGATTGAACCCAAAGGAGCCTAACTACTGAGCCACATACCCACCCCCACCCCCTTTTTTGAGACTGGGTCTAAGTTGCTGAGGCTGGCTCTGAACTTGTGATCTTCCTGCATTAGCCTCCCAGTCTGCTAGGATTATAGGTGTGTGCCACTGTGCCCAGCAAGTTTCATTTTTGAAGCAAGAGAATAAAAATCTGATCCGTGACTTCCGAAAGGCCTCCAGGTTGCTTTTCAGAGAATGGGCTGGGTGGCAACAGGACTGGGGAGTAGATGCTGGGTCGGGAGGCTGCTGCTGTAACTGAGTGAGCAACTGGGAGGCCAGGGTGGGGAAGACAGTCATCCTGTGGCAGGGATACAGCTGACAAAGGCAAGGATGGAAATCAGTCTCTGATTTGTGTTAACCAGGGAAAGTTGTTATTATTATTATTATTATTTTGATACCAGGGGTGTTTAACCAACCAAGCCACATCCCCAGTACTTTTTAAAATTTTGAGAGGGTCTCATTAAGTGGCTTAGGGCCTTACTAAATTACTGAGGATGGCTTTGAACCTGCAATGTGCATGTGCCACTGCACCAGGTGCAAGTCATAATTTTTGAGATGGGGACCCCAGAGGAATTCAAGCTTGGGCAATGGTGTAATGAGAAGGCAATTTGGTCTGATGTGTTGAGCTTGAAGGTGCCTATGCAAATACTTAGCAGGAACTACTCATACATTAGGTTGGGGTGGGGAGAGGCTGGAGGAAGGTGGAGTCTGATGGAGATGTGTGGGAGGCAGGCTCTGCAGAGCAGAAAACATGGGAGGTGTTAAGGGTGTAAGCTGGTTAGAGGAACCTGGATTGGGAAGGATTAATCAGAGGCAGAGAGAGAAGCAAGGCAGAAATCACACAAAAGCCAAGAATGCATCTCAAGAAAAGAGCTGACCTGGTCAAATGCTACAGAGATCAAGAGATATAGACAAAAACCTCAGGAGATTCATCAAGAAAGAGGCCAAAAACAACCCCAGTAAGTGGCTCATGAAGTGCTGGGGAGAGTGAGCGAGCCAAGCTACCATGCTGACTCCCTTCCCAGCAGCCTGAGAGGCTGAGACTGTGGGCAGCTTCCATGAGCTGTTGACTGATGCCTCCTTCCCACAAGGGCTTGATCCAAGACAATCTCTTTGAAGCTTACAACATGCATTCAAGGAGTATGGGGTGACAAACAAGAACTCCACTTTCCAGTCCCTGGGCACAGGGCGAAGACTTTCCCAGGAGCGAATGTTAACACTGACATCTATGCTCCAATTGCAGGCCAGCATATAAGGTCACTCTCCTGTTCACCTTCCACAAATGGATGGCAACCAGTGAAGGGCTCCTGCCCCAGGGTGTCCGTCTGCTCTAGGACCAGACCCCCTGCTGGAGGTGAGCCAGCCTGCACCAAGATACCACTGGTACTGTCCAGAGGAGATGACGGAAAAAAGAAGCACAGAGCCAAGCCTACTTGGACAACAAAAGCTACGCAGTAAGATAAGGTTTTTACCAGTATGGAGAAATGTGATTTTTCATGACTAAAAATCTAAGCTGCTGGCTGGGGATGCAGCTCAGTGACGGAACGCTGGTCTAGCAAGTCAAGAGCATGGATTAGACCCCCACTACCTCAGGGTCGGTGGGGGGAACACACAAATCTGACGCTTGGCAGCAGCAACAAGTGGACTGAGCCAACACAACCAGTCTGCATCTGTTAAAGAAAGGGGGCAGTAAAGCACCATGCCTCTCAACGCCCCCTCCTTCCCATTCCCCAAACCCTAGCCAAGTTAAGGGAATGAGAGCAAGCCTGGCGGGACATCCAGGTACGCAGCATCTTGAAGAACACTGGCTACCTCTCCTGCCCACTGGCTGCGCATCAGTGCAAAAAGTCAACATGAGGCATCTTTCCCTCAGCCGCAGCATGCAGCAGAGTCCCCGAGTCTGCACCTAAATCTCCAGTCACCATGTCTGCAGGGGTCACAGTGTTCTGCTTCTAAGAAGCAAAACCCAGGTCCAGATTCGAGCGCTGGGAAAGAGACCACACAGAGCTCGGAAGGCCGACTCCCCCTGCTAGGCAGTCAGTAACTTCTTCCCTCTCTGTCTGAGGAGAGAACACAAATGCTAAATGCGAACTTAAGGGTGGTTTTAATTTCCTCCCAAGTGCTTATGTGACAGTAGATTTATAAAACTAATGTTCAGGCAATTAAAGAGCCAATGATTCTTAAGAACATCATCATTACATCGAAGACTTCTTCAAGAAAAAAAACTGTTCTTTCTTATGACAGTGCCCCATTCTGCAGATGGATTTAAAGTCTAAAATAAGCAAACACACACCATTTCTTTTAAACTACTGTTTAATCAGTTTCAAAGACACACAAATTAGAAAAAGAAAACATGTACATTCAACACACCTTCAAACCCAGCAGTAAGCCACCAGAAGAGCTCTGGGGACACAGGTCAGGAACAAGTGGTAAAAACTCAAGACACCACATTGAACTGACAGTGGTGGTTGCAACTCACTGTACAACAAGAACTGACTTATGGATCTGTTGAAAAATAACACTTCTTTAAAAAAATATTTTAGAATAATAAAAACAAGCAGCACAGAACACCACATGGCATTCTTGCCTGGGGAGGGGAGAGAACACTGCTGACCGTGGCTGCTGCAGCCACACTCCCCTCACCGTCCAGTAACAGAGACTCAGCAACTTCCAGGCAGAGGTCCAGACGCGCTCTGAAGGGAGGGCGGGATGAATCACACACCTCCCTGCATGGGACACAACCCCTTGCTTTACCTCAAGTATTTTTACCTCCTTCCCTCTGCCTTATATTATGCCCCTTCTGGTTTGAGAGGCAATCCCGTAAAGATGACAGAAGACGGACAAGAACATAGTGTTCAACACTTTTTTCCTTGCGATAAAAAGTCAGTAGCAAATGTACTTCATTGACAAATCCAACTAAAAATACTTAAATTGGGAAAGAAGCATATTTAAAATGCCTCAGTACTTAAGTTTGTCCTTTCCTGGGAAGGGACGGAAAGGAATATTAACAAATCAACTTCTCAAAGAAAATCCAAACTATAGCTGGAAACAGTAAACAGCATACACTTTTTCCACTTCAAACATGCTATTAAAAATTGGTTAGTCATTTTGCTTATGTTGCTCTGTAACTTTCCGTTTTTCATTATATTTTTGTTTCTTTTTATAGTTGCAAAATTTGATAAAACATGGCTGGAGAGATGGCTGTGTATCACTGGTAAGTGTCAGACAGCAGTTTTACATGGATCTTTATACTATTTATAGAACACAGAGTCTTGGGTTTGTTTTTCTTTTTTCTTTATAAAAGTCATACTAAAAGAAGAGTTATAATCAGTTTTAAAGGCAAGACAATTTAGTTGGCATAAAAATGTGTCTTTACTTTTGGTTCACAAAATTTTCCCAATCAATGACCTGAAGCTTGTCAGTTCTTTACTGGGGTTTAACTTTATGTTAAAAACCTATTAAAATAAATATTATTTTAAAACATATAAAATATTATTAAGCAGCCTATCAATTAAAATGCAAGTGGCTGCATCCTCTGTACAACAAGAGCCTCAAAAAGCAGCTTAATCACTGATTAGAAGTGCATTCCTACAAAATATCAATGTTGAAAATTTCATTTTAAATTTTCTTCTGTAAGGAGAATTACTATAAATAGAATTGACTACATGGTGTTGCAGAAAAACACTGCAGAGACCCTTTACATTCTAGTCCTTCAAACTCAAATTTCAGTGTGGATTTATTTTTTTTTTAATGCAATCTGTTCATTCAACCACAGTGGTACAAACCCACTTTTATTAGCAGAAATTTAGCATCCAAAGAAAGAGCATGATGATCAACCACTCATTGGGTGCCTCTGGGTCAAGTGCAACAGGTGTGTAAGGGCCTTGAGGGTAGTTAAGATTGCATTCACAGTGTTATTCAGAATCCTGCACCTATGTTAAATTTGATTTATTAAATTTCAGCAGAATGGACTATTAATGTCTGACTAACCCTCAAAATACTGACCGATATTTAGAAGCTTGGACAAATCCTTAGCTGACAGCAATACAGGTACCATTTTGAGATAATCATTCTCTCAAGTAATTTTTTTCAATCTTATGTAGAACTCATAAAACCAATTATCCAATAATTATGAATTTGGAAACAAAAAGTATAAATGTCCAATTTGTTCAAGAATATCCAAATTAAATATTTAAAAGGTATGAATTTTAAACAGGAAATGTTTGTCCTAAAGTCAACAAATAAAGAATGACTTATATAAAATCATTTTAATGGCAAAAATTTTAATTATTTTCTGTAGTTTAAAATAAAGTGGTAAAGGCGGATCACAAATTCAAGGCCAGTCTCAGCAAAGGACTGGGTTCAATCCCCAGAACCAAAAATAAAAAATAAATGTTTTCTTCAGTAGAGACCATTTCACTATGAAAGTCATTTTTAAGGGCTATGTTCAGTAGAAATAGTATATTGCCACACCTTCTGATCTAATGGATTGTTTGCCCTCTGAGCCGGGCAAGGTGGCACACTCCTATAATCCCAGTGACTGAGGAGGCTGAGGCAGGAGGATCAAAAGGAGGGCTAGGGATGTAGTTCAGTGGTAAAGTGCTCCTGGGTCCAACCCCCAGTACCAAAGACAAAACAAAATAAAATTTAAAAGATCCAAACCACAACTAAAACAATCAAACAACAACTAAAAAGGTTTTCTTCTGGCCAGGTGCAGTGGTGCACACTTATGATCCCACTGATTCAAGAGGCTGAGACAGAAGAATCAGAAGTTCAAGGCCAGCCTCAGTAAACTAGTGAGTCCCTGCCTAAAAACAAAAATAAAACAGTTGGAGGGTGTGGTAGAGCATCCCTGGGTTCAATTCCCAGTACCACACACACATACACACTCACAAATACTTTGTTGCTATGACAACCTTTAAAAAAGTCATGGCTTTGAGTGTCAGTAATGAAAATTAGCAACCACAATAGTTCTCCTTGTGAATCTGCCCATGCCCTTGCACTTGGCTCCCCTTCCGGGTCCTCATTCCTCTCCCTTGCAAGGGAAGGGAGCATGAGCGCTAGAGAACAGGCACTCAACAGGCAGAGCCAGAGTTTCCAGTTCCTCCTCCAGTTCAGGCAGTGCTCACAGGAGGAGCTCCCCTTACCTCCAGAAACCACCTTTCACTGCCAACGTTTCTCAAAAGCGGTGTGTATGTAAGTCCCTGTGTGAGTGTCAACATGGTGGGGACCAATGGCAACATGTTAAACAAGTGGAAGGTGGAGGCTGATACGAGAAGTGGTAGCTGGACATTTTTGAAGCCAAATAAATCTTGTCTATTACTCTGGATATTTCAGAAGCTAAATAAACATCCCCTATTACCCTGAGTTCCAGCAAAAATGCTAATTTTAAAAACAGAATGAGCCACTTATAAAATGATGACAGTTGAGACACGCCAAAGTAACTATTATTGTTTCAAGAAAATGAAATTGAGGGAAGAATAATTATTTTTGTTCAATTTTTTTCCCTGAGTAGTATGTAATTAACCAGAAGTATAAATATGATGTTGATTGATCATCTCTAGTGTGGTTTCATGATATCTGAAGAGTGGGAAAATAATATAAATACACACTGAATCCTATTCTGCTGCTGAAGGAAAAAAAAAAGCAAGCACACATCACAATGAATCCCTTTATACTTGACAGCAGAAGAGATATGCTAGATTTTAATTCTTCTACCATAGGTAGAAACAAAAAATTAATCTTCACATCACTCCAAAGAGAATATTCATTTTGTAAAACTTTTTTTTTTCTTGGAGAAAAATCAAGGTGAGAATTAGAATCCTAGTTTTTCTTTTAGATTGCATATTTGTGATTATTTCTCCAAATCAGATGAGAGGTATTCAAAAAACATTTCATAAAAAGCACTAGTAGATTCAGGGGGGTAAAAATTACCACCAGGACGGCTCAGCGCCATCCTGGTGGGAATCCAGGAGCCAGCCCAACACTTTGCTCTTTGCAGACAGAGCTGTAGTTAGATGTTCAGTCAGCAAAAAGCAGGGGGCATGATGTGGGCTGAGAGATGAAATATACTCGGGCAACAGAAATAAATGGTGACTCTCTGTAAGTAGCTGGATAGAGAGAACCAAGAAAACAAAAAACACAAAAGTTTTTGCAGAGCTTTCTGGTTACTCTACATTTGTTTACTTTCTCTTAACAGTGAGCAGATTCTCTGCAGCACTGATTAAACTGAGAAGATGTTTTAAGAGGAGACACTTTCCATGAACATTCCTTTTTAACCTCACATTATGCAGCTAGCTTAATTTCAATGCCGGGGAAAACAGACAAAAGTTACTTAGCTATCTACCCTGGCCTGGGAGGAAGAAGTGGGGTTTGCCTCATCAGAGAGAAAAACATAAGCCTTTAGAAAAGCAAGTGTGTTTCTAAAAGTTCTAAGACAATACACTGACTTTTTGAGACCACAGAAGTTCCAAGTGCATTGACTTTGCATTTCTTTACATGAAATACTACAGAGCTTATGTCAGATTTTTGTTTTGTCTTTACTTCATTTATAAGTTTATTAGTGATCAGAAAAAGAGACTCATCATAGACATATAATTTCATTTCATAAAAATTTAAGGCAAAAAGAAAAGTTCCACCAAAGATTGGTCAAGCAACGGTGAGGTTGGAAGGCCTCATCTGCTTTCCCTGCCACAGGGTGACAGACCATCTGTGGCTGGGCCCAGCTGTAACACCTGGCCTCCAGTTCCAGCTCCTGCTCTTGCTACTGCAGTCAGCACAATACTCTGCAGGCTAAAGGAGATGCCCAGGAATTCAAGGCAAGATTATTCATGGTAGAAATGGCCCATAAGAAGGAATCACAGTTTTCTTCTTACAGAATCTAAAACTCATTTTAGCAGGAGTTAACAACAAAATTTTAATGTGAGAAATTTAAAAGCATCTGGAAACTAATCTCAAAAACGTCATTCAGTCGCTATGTCTTTTTGATTTCCTAAAACTTTTCCACATAGGAATTAAAGTGACAAGGATAGGAAATTGATTAGCCAGACAGAACCCTAATTACTAGAGACTTCTTTCAAAAAAAGCAGTCTATCACTGTTACTCTCATTATCTCTTCTAATTCTATATAATTTATGCTTGATCAATTTCACTTGAAAGTCCAAAGTATTACCCAGTTTTTAAACTTTTATGTCTTAGACAGTTACACAGAACCCCATGCAGAAAGGGGGAACTGTTTCTAGCTCCAAGTCTCACAGAGCTTTCTTCATTCCTACCTTCCTGCCTCATTTTCTCTTTTTTAAGAAAATAAGCTTAAAATATCACATTACCAACCTTTAATTATGTTTAAGAAGTTCCTCCTGGAAGGACTCTCTGACTAACACAAGGTAATTAAGCTCTCCAGCAAAATAAGCTACCTATAATTTGGCATCCATTACTGCTTACAGTTTCACTATGCACTGTAGTCATTTGAGATACTTTAAGAAAACCCTTCAAATACTGAGATGTTTATTGCATTTTTAAAGTATCTACCATCTTAAATATCCTGTTTCAAATTCCTTCACATTATACAACATCAAATATTGAAATAATCTTCTCATACTATTACACTTGAAAATACCATTTAGGAACAATATTTTAGGAAATAGAGGGTTTAAGGCAAGACATTCATTTGGAAAAGTTAACCCCCTCAATCATTCAGTCGGACACGATAAGTTTTCCACCTCTGCAGTGCCTTGGGGTACACAACATACATTCGGCAACAGGGCACACATATGACCTTGTGGACATATGCTGAGGTTGGAATGCCCCATGAAATATGAAAATATTTTTATGTAAGGCGTGGCCCACAGGGACATGGCATGGGAGGGCTGCTTCTTTCCGTTTCCAATCTGGTTTACAGGAAATTCCCTACCTATAGCTGTCCCATTTCCCCCGTTAATCTCTTTTCAAACAAACACAAACCCCTTGCGAAGGTGCTAAGACTGGTTTCTGTCAACACAAGAAAGGCAGTCAGCAGGAAGGCCTCCCCATCACTGCCTTGATGAAGATGGTCTAGAGGCTTTTTCTTGGTTCTGATTGCAAATGCTGTTTCTTGTGGAGAAACTGTCCTCTGCCAAAGAATTTTCTCTTTCGTCAACCTTTCTGGACTGTGAGAGCTGATGGTTTTCATGTATATTCTTTCCTCTTTGAGTCTTTTTCACTGGCAACAACCATAATACTAAGATACTACAGACGTGAAGGCAGTAATACCAGGAGCTAAAAGAAAAAGGAAAAGTTAGTTGTATTAAATTTGGACACTAGTAATCCTTCACTGCACCCTGTGGACACCTGCGTCACTGCTCCCTCCCCTTCAAGGTGGACTCCACACTGCGGCCCAGGGTCTCTACAGAGCTCTGCCCCCGTGAGCACGAGAGTGGATTACACAGCTTGGAACAGGACAAGAAGAAAGGTACTTATTAACAGTGGTAGTGATCTGAAAATAATCCCTTCAATCCAGAGACTCTAATTCTGAGTCACCAAAGAGACAATAAGGAAAGCAGAGCCTGGCTTGGCCACGCCCCCTGCTGTCCACTGTCTCTCCCTGAGTCACAGGGATTCTGAGGAGGAAAGCAACAGATAAGCAACAGTGCCTGGTGGTGACTTCCACACGTAAAGAAAGGCCATGTTATTTAAGATACTCAGAAACATCATTCCCCAAATCAAATATAAACCAAATGCAACCTCAACTGCTCTATAATAGTTGGAAGTTCAAGTGATTGAGAGAAGTACCTGAGATGCATCAAATAGCCCAATTTACTGCATTTTAAAGTAAGAAATGATTCTGTTAAAGTAGAAATGTCTTTCTGTATGTATGATTTTTGTAATATTGTATTTGACAATTTTCCAGCTGCACATTCTGTTCTAAGTCACTCTAAAGTCTAAAGAATTTATGAAAGGATCAAGTTTTGATCTCTAAGCTATCACTATTATGGGGGAGTGGAATTAGATGGGGCAAGGGGAGGAGATAAACAAATAAACAAAAAATATGGAATTCAAGTTAACAATTTCTAATAATACAGTGATGACCATAGTACTAATGAAACAAAAGAGTGAAAAGTCTAAGTAACTTATTTTCCTTTGATTAAAGAAACCAAGATAATTAATCATTCTTTGTAAAGACCCGACTTTTTTCCCAACCAGGTTCTGGACAATCAGGCCAGGAGGTTTCCAGTTCAACATCCCTGAAAGCTAAGGCAGCAGTTACCAGCTGGCACTTCCCTCACCTTCAAGAGTGTGAGCCATCCCATGAAGATTTGAGATTGCTTGGTTCAGGATTAAGAAGTAACTGTCATGCTTCTACCAGCAGAAAATGAGGTACAGTACTATTTTCATATCCCATGCAATAGCAAGGAACTTTCTTTCCTGACAAATCTTACGAGTAACACTTACCTGTAAAACGTGAATGATGGTTTTATAGAAAGAAGCACAAATGGCACAACTGTATAACTTATTGCTATTTGAGTTACTGCCCATGTTATGATGTCATAAAATAATTTAAGTTGGGGAGTTTTGAGGAAATAATGTCTAAAGTTGTTTCTCATCTGAAATAAAAAATAAACAAAAAACACTTACTATATCTTTAAATTAACATTACTTACACAATTATACTGGCAATGACTATATCAAGAATGTTGAACTTGCATGCAGCTGGCATGAGTCTAAAATGATACTACCACTGTGAGAAAAGCTAGTTCTGAAAAATTGAACACACCTGGGCATAAGCTGTGGCGGTGGAAAAGAAGGCATCCAGGCGAGACATGAACTCATGGATCTGGGCCCTAAGGCCTACAGGAGCTCTGTGCAACTTCTTAGTTGATCTGAAGTTGCATTAAAATGAAAAATTTCCCCAAAGAGTTAAAAACAATACTACGCAAAGCTCCTTAACTGGTACTTGGGAGAGGACACAATAGAGTTCAACCTATTTTCAGTTTCTCCTGCCACCATGAAAAGTACATTCGTCACCTCTCTCTTTAACCTCTACACATGTGAACAAATAGATCCCGTGCACTGAGCTCAGGTTAAATAGCACTCACTAGAAACAAACAGCAACCACACACATCACTCACAAATGGAAGCCGGAAGAGCCTCTCAAAAAACTGGTGTTTTCTAATCTTCACTATTTTGATGACTTTTTAATGCTTTCAAGGTAGTGAAAACATCTCAACCTTTTCAACCCAATCATGGTGCTGTCTCTTGTCCTGCGTTTCTCACTCTTCTCGTCTAGTATGTTTATGGGACGCACAGCCCTGTTCTCCAGATGCCGTCTTAACTCCTTTAGAGTGGAGCTGGCACATGAGAAATGGTTCTTCCACACAAAGACCATCTTCTTAGTGGCCAAAACCAAATCCTGCCTGTGACTTCTTGCCTAGCTCACCAGCGGGACACCTATTATCTAGTCCACTCTGCTCATTAATGACAAACCCATTTCTTCACGTATGGTGGTCAGTATTCTTACAAACCTTACCCAGCTGGGGAGCTGGCTCCCTGGCAGAGTGCTTGCTAAGCATTTCCAAGGCACTAAGTATAATACCCAGCACTGCAAAAATAAAAATAAAAAACCGAAAGACAATGAAAAGCAAACCTTACCTTAACTACCTAATACTGCAAACAGAACAGGCTTAGGCTCTTCCCCACTTTGATATTCAAGTTCTCCCATTATTGCTCTCCTCCTCTCCCCTCTGTACCTATCCAGAATTATCCACTATTTATGAATACAATTCTCCTCTTCAATTAGATTTAGTTATTGTTCTCCAAGTATAGCATGACATTTTAACCACAGTTTTGTTAATGTCATTCCATGCCTAGAGTAACATTTTCTCCCCCATATCTCCCCCACATCTCACTCAGTATTGAAATAATAATTTCCTTTTTTTGGCCCTGACGTGTGATCTCCCTGCCTCAGCCTCCTGAGTTGCTGGGATGACAGGTATCCGCCACCATGCCTAGCTCTACCTTTCATCTTTCAAAGCCCAGACTAAATGCTTTGGATCTCAATGAAGAAATATTTCTTTCATCTCTGATACTTACCATCTTAAAAAAAACCATGGAGCCTATCATACATGCCTCGGGAAACATGCGTTGGTATGTGCATATAACCACTCACAGCGAACACACACTCGATACCCGATTTCACCAAACTATCAAAGGCACAGCCTTTAGCTTCCTGACTTCCCTCGTACACCATCATGCTACCTTAAAACTTAACAGTCAATACTTGCTGTTTGTTAAATGAAGCCACCTTACCTCTGAGTGCTACCACAGCTAGTTCAAAAGCACTTCTCAAACAAACCTATGATTCTGATCATCTTTATTTAACTATTTTTCTCTTTCGCTCAGAAAATTCTGTAAAAATAAGTATAATATGTGAGTGCCTCCTGTGTGCTTCTCCGGTAAGCAGGGAAGGCCGCGTGCAGGGAGACTCGCTATGTATGTGGCTCCACTGCAGAGGACTGTGCTAATCAAGGCTAAAGAAGTAGGGTCACTGAATTATAATTAAAATTCTTGATACTTACAGCTCGTGCTGCTAATGTCATCAATACCCCTGTTAAAAAGGTCAGATAGTATCCTGGGTATACCCCATGCCAAATGGCAGAGAGAAAGAAAGTCTGGATGGTTGGACTGATGGAGGCCCGTTCATAACACACCCTAAAAACCACAAAAAAACACAAAGAACCAAGAGGAGTGAGTGGATCCGAGCTTACCAACCCTACACTGATCATTCTCCCATTACTTGGCAGGATTTTAGTAGCCAGAAGAACAAATACTATCTATTTTGGGTAATAACTTGGTCTGGAATCTCAGGGATGTTACGATTATTAAGTATCAAATTTAGAAACATAAATTCAATTCCTACTTTCCCACAACCACTAAATTATCATTTCTACTATTTGGGAGTCTCTAAAGTTTACCAGAAATTTATAATTAATATTAAAGTTAGAGGTTTTATTCTACATATTTTTTTTCTTTGTCTCCCCTCCTCCCCTTTTTTGATGGCACTGGGGACTGAACCCAAGGCTCCTTTCCGCTATTCGATCTACCTCTGAGCTATGTCCCAGCCCTTTTTGGTTTGTTTTTGTTTTTTACTTTGAGACAGGGTCTCACTGAGCTGCTCAGGCTGGCCTTGAGCTTGGGGTCAAGGAGTAGGATCCCAGCCATGAGCGATTTTATTGCTTTCGTTAAAAACACTCAAAACTTTCAATTGAACATGATTCTTTCTGGTAAATTAAATAGGCTATGCTTAGTCTGAAATTCTCCTATAATAGGGCATATAATTCAGATGGAAATGAGCTTAAAATTTAAAATTAAATATATAAGTATAAATATATAAATAACAACAATAACATCACACAACAGATGAGTTGGTCCGACACTGCTGGGGGCCTGGCTGGGATCAGGAAGGCATGGTAAAAACGAGGTATCTCAAGGGGTAAGATATTCAATTGTTTTAAAGAAACACTACAAAGGCAGGCGACTTTGAGCCCTCTCTGAACAGGAACAATACTTTAAGAATAAATTCAAGACTGAGCAGGTGCCTGTGGACACTGGAGAGAGAGCCTGGGTGTTCCGGTGTCATCCTAGACTGGACAGGCCCTGCTCTGCCCAGGGCTGGTTGCCCTCTCCTTCCGGGCCGCACATCCTAACTGACATCCTGGGGCTCAGGCTTCTGAGAAATGTCCCCTTGTTTCCCTGCGTGCCATGCTGCTCCTGCTCTCTCACAATACCCCCCATAGGGATCAGCAGGTGCCTGGTCCACTGCTGTGCTCTGAGACCTCTGGGGGGACTGGCCTATCTTTGGGCCTGTGCCTAACACATAAAGATCTGTCAGACTGGAATATTCAAACTGGAACTGTTCCAGAAAACCTGCAGCACATGTAGAGTGGATATGTACAGAGTTTCTTTAAAATCACATATTGGGCTTGGGATATAGCTCAGCTGGTAGAATGCTTGCCTCGCAGGCCCAGGCCATGGTTTCAATCCCCAGCATCAAAAATCCCAAACCAAAACCAAAAACAAAAAAACCACTCCACATCTCTGGGGATGGCAGCAGAGGCACTGAGGACTCGGGCAGAGGAGCAGAAACTGGCTGAGGAGGTGGTGATAGAGAACCGTGACTCAGGCCCAACTGTCCTGATCAGGTGGGTGCTAACAGTCTTTCCTAGGTTAATGCCAAAGCCACAATGTCACTTAACACACCATGAATTTAATTGAGAACATGAATTCGACAAAGTTCAACTTCAAGTACTAGATGCCAAAATACATCTAAAAATGTTCTTGAAGAAACATACCTTTTGAGCCAAAGAGCTGTCTGGATATTCCAATTATCAAGAAACATCTTGAAACTTGTTGACATCTGAAAAACAAAGGAAACTTTTCTTTGGCCAACAAAACAATGAAGCTATAAATATTATGCTGATGAATTAAAACTTCCGCATAATGATGATAGCAAAAGATTCCTCATTTCTTGATGCTATTTTTCGAAGATAGTAATAACATCATTCTTAAAAGGAGTTAATTTTTGAGAATGAATAAATGCACTCTCTTTCTCCCGTGTGTCAATATTTACAAAGCTTGTCATGAAATTACTACAAAGAAAGTCCTGCTGAGTACACAAACACCTTTGTCCAACACCAAGGACTGGAGTGTCTACCTCATCATCTTCCTTTCTCCCAATCCCTGCCACTGTCTGGGTGAAGTGGGAGAGGAAGACTGTGTTTTATTTTATTTTAATTAACATTTATTTGGGGCTGTGTTGGGGATTGAACCAAGGGTCTTGTGCATGCAAAACACTCTACCTCTGAGCTACATCACCAGCCCTCTTCTACCATTTTAGACTCCATGGTCCATTATTTACTATTGTCTTATCAAAATCCCCGAGGCCTTTGTCTCTTTTCCTTTCAACCTGCCTGCCCATCATAACCCCAGCCCCTGACAGCAAGCTGCCTCCTTCCCCACAGGCATATCTGCAAGCCAAGCCTGGAACAGCAGGGGCATTCTAGACCTCCAGGCTCATGGTTCTCAACTAAAGCAACCTATAGGACACTTATCTGTCCTTATCTCAGTTGACACCTCAGGGACACTTAGCAGAGCTGTCCACACTCTCCTTGGAAAAACTAATGCTTTTCTTGATGTTATTCCACACAGCACCCCCAAGAGGATGAAAACTGGTCCTAGTGGGGTGCATAAATCCGGTCTTTTCCTGTATAAACCACGTGCATGCACACAGTGGACCAAGAGACACACAGTATGTCCACAGCACTAACACTGCAGGGGGACGACCAGGGAACAAAGTGCTGGGAAGGCTCTGCAGGTGGTGACCACAAAACGAAGCCTGGACCACCACCACACTTGCGTCCCTGGCTCCGCAAGAACCCATCTTCCCTTCCTCTTCTCCATTTTTCATTCCTCACATTATTAGGAAGATTTCAAAACAATTACTACAATCGCATTTCACGTGGAGATAATGCAAAATTGATGCCCAACAAGGACATTTTAGAAACCATTATTAGATCTAACAAAATTAATAATAATTTTTCTTTTTTAGGACAGTCTCAAACTTCTGGGTTCAAGCAATCTTCCTGCCTCAGCACCCCAAGCAGGTGAGACTACAGATATGTACCACCCACTACACCCTGCTCAAATGATTTAGCATCATTTAATACCCTTTTTGTAGTCAAACATCCCTGTTTGATTTGTTGGCCACAGTCTCCTTTAATCTGTAATAGTCCCTCTCCACCCTCTACTTTTTCTATGCCACCAATGTGTTTTAAAAAACAACCCCACAGGTCATATGTCTTATGCCCTGTGAAATTTCCTAATTCTGGATCTGACAGTTGACTGACTCCTCTCTAGTCCACATTCCCTCTAAACTGAGAAAGACCCAGAGGCCCCACTCAGGTTTAGTCACCGTGGGAAACTTCCCCGGGGCCAGCGCTCTGCTTCCTGCAGCTCCTCACTGCAGAGCCTGCTGACCATGCCGGGATCCTGGGTGGGTCCAGCCTGGGCCATTTTCATAAAGTTCCCTGTTGACCTTTTACCTACAGTCTTGCAATTTCTCCTGCTTGGAATAAAGCTTCTCACAGGCTGGCGAAGCATCTGCCTGGCTTTCCCTCTTCTCCCTGCTTCTTTTCCTGATGGCCTCCTTGTCTGGCCTCCTGTGCTCTTTCAGATTCACCTTCTCTTCTCTCAGTTGCCTCTGCTGGCCTTGCTCTTAGCTTCCCCCAGGGCTATGAGTTCGAGTTCCCAAATTACAATTCTGGGCTCAGGTGTCTCTGCTGATTGACCACTTGTCTGCCTGCTGGACAACTTAGTGAGTCTGAGATTTACACACACTCTCTATCTCTCCAAACCTGTGCATCTTTGTTTCCTATCTCAGTGAGAGGCATCACCATAACCCTGGTTGCTTAAAGCAGCTATGCTTGACCTACACCTTGTTTCTCTGCTGGTTCCAATTCATTACCAAGTTCTGTTGAGTCTCACACACAGCGCTCCTTTCTTTCTATTCCCTCTGGCAGTTTCCTAGTTTAAGGCACCAGCATCTTGGATTAATACTATACCTCCCAGCAGATCTCTGCCTGTAAGGACAACAAGTTCTACATGCTGGATCCTTCTAGAACATGTCTCTGGTTTCAGCTCACTCATCTGCCCCTGTAACATACCTGCAGTGCTCCACCACTGCTCCTGCAAGAAAGTTCAAACCCCTCATATGGCCTCTAAGACCGTGCTGGGCATGCCTGGCCTTGCACACCTTGAGCCCAAGGAGCCCTCACAACTGCCTAAACCTCTCATCCTCTCAGGCTGCTCCTCCTACCTGGAGTACCTGGCAGTCTCCTGCTTAAGACATCTGTCCCTGAGACACCCGCACTAAGCTAAGCCCCAGTCTGAAGAACACTATATGCCTAGCCCTCTCTGATCAGAAACCTGATGGCACTGCTGGAGGGCCCTCTGGTACCCATCTTATTCCTTGGTTCCTTGGCACAGGGCTGGTCATCAGTAAATACTGGTAGAGTGACAGAATGATAATTTCTTCATGATTTACTCACCTCTATTTGCTGAATTCTCAAATTGGAAATCAAGTCCCAATGAGCTGCTCCATTTCTGTCATATCCTCTGAAACCAAAGCCTGCAGCATTGTTAATAGCATCAGCTGTAGCAAAGTAAAAAAAAAAAAAAAAGAAAAGAAAAGTATTAATGTGTCTCTTATTATTAAACAGTATAAATAGATGTATTCTAAGGAAGGTTAGAAACATTATCACACACATTGAAAATAACTACCCCAATAAGGGCAATTTGAATAATCAATGAAATAAAACACATTAAGCATGAGTAAAGGGCAGGTGTAATTTAAGACCTGCTGGCACCAACAGGCTAAATAAAGGTACATACTGTGTGTAGAAAATAACTTTGAAACTCTACAATGCTTCCTGGAACACAGACAAAAGCATTCAGCACCAAACTGCTAGGAGATGCTCCACTGTGAGATCACCATGTTCCTTTTAGACACATATTTGACTATATTATAAAGAAGAATATATAGATGAGGCATGTTTTCATTTCAATTTGCTTCTGTCTTAGTTCATTAGAATCCACTCTACGTCTCCAAAATCTGTTTTTTAATCCTTTTCACCACAATGCTCAATTAGTTATCTTTGATTTATATATCTGCTTGAATTCTCCCTCAAATAAGCCCTTTCCCAATCAATTGGAAAACTTTATAACTTATGCTGTTTCTGCTACAACCAAGAGTAAGCTGAAATCCACCAAAAACCAACAGAAGACTATAGATATGCACCCCATCCTTAAGTTGTTTTCATTCCATTAGTGTTTTAGTATATTAAACAGGATTTTCAAAATTTACACTTTGGAGGAAAAAAGAACACATGAGCTAGACTGATCCCTTTGTCAGGGTTAAAGAGCTTAGCTGCCTTTGGTCCAGTAAACAGGAGCCTTTCAGGTAAGCATACTGATACAGGAGCCTTTCAGGTAAGCTTATTGATACAGGAGCCTTTCAAGTAAGCCTACTGATAGGGCAACACTCACTACCAGCACGGCAGCACGTCTGTGCTGAGGCCCTGCTCCACGGAGGCTGCCACCTCTGGTTTCTTAACTTGCTCACTTTTGCCATCTTTTCTGGCCTGCTGCCATCTGGAAGTAACTCCTCTCCAACAGCTCCTCTCCCAAGGGGACTGGCTCAGAGACCAAACGGCAGGTGAGGCCTCCCTTTACCCAGCCCCCAACAAGAGCCTGGCCTGCACCTCAGGTGGCCTGAGGTTCCTCAGGGTGAGGTGAGTGACCCATGACTCCAAAGAGCCAACCACTGGCATCAACTCAACTTTGACCTGTCCCTATACAGACCAAGTCAGGGCTATGCCAACTTGAGTTAAAAACAAAAAACTGTTCAAATTCCAAGAAATGATCTATTTGAAGGGGTGAGAAGAGGGCAGGTGGGAAATCTAGAAGCCTGATTCCTATTTTGAGAAACCTTGAAATGAAAAATTAAACATTACTGTTGAGGTAGCCATTTAGTATCAAAGAAACTAAATTTAAAAACATTTATTTACAAGAACCTACCAAAGTAATTACCCACATGATCCATTCTTCTTTTAAAAATTATGATCAAAATGCAAAAACTATATTAAAGGATGATACTGGAACTCTTGGACCCTGGACCTCCAGATATCACAGAACTCCAATTTGAGAACCAAATGGACAATTAAAAAAAAAAGGCTCAGGAGGAGAGGGGATGGGCCCACTCAGATGCTGAAATAAGCCTCACTCTGCTCCTTGCCTGATCCAAAACTGCAAATTAGATTGCAGATGTTAACCATCACTAATACCTATAATAGCATAGCACACTACAAAGTTAAAGCATTTGCTGAATGAATAAACAGCCTTATAAGCTCATGGCAAAAATTCTTTGAATGTAGCTCCATTTCAAATTGTTCTGATCAAATTATGTCCTTAAAGAGGAACTGGGAAAAAAGAAAATAATCTTTTCCTGGCTTATCAAACCAAATATTGGGGTGGGGGTATACAATCTTCTAATCTTCTAATTTTTCATTTCAAGGTTTCTTCTAATTGTCACAATTAGCAAAGAAATAATTAGTTATGAATCTCTTTTTGTCTTTCATGTGTGATACTGGGAATGGAACCCAAGGGCCCGTGTGCTGAGCAAACACTTTCAGTGGTGCTACATTCCCAGCCCTTTTTGTTTCTGTATCTGGAGATGGTCTTGCTAGATTGCCCACATGAGCCTTGAACTTTCGACCCTCCTGTCTTGGCCTCCCACAGTGCTGGGATTACAGGCCTGTGCCACCATGTCTGGCATTCTTATGCATTTCTTAATGAAACCCTACAAATGCTGGGTGGGTATGGAGAAAATTCAGTCTCAATTTAAAGACAGAATACTTATTTATTTATTTATTTTGGTGGTACTGGGGATCGAACTCAGGGGTGCTCTACCACTGGGCTACAATCCCAGTCCTCTTTATTCTGAAACAGGGTCTCACTAAATTGCTGATGTTGGCCTGAACTTGTGGTCTTCCTGCCTCAGTCTCTTGAGCTGCTGGGATTACAGGACTGCTCCACTACTGTACCTAGTTTATAAGTGGTATCACAGGTGTAAAAAAACATCTTCAGAAGTGTTTGTTCACCACTAAACAAAGCACGTAGTAAATGCCAGTGCTCAGCCTGCTCCCAGCATCAGGTGACTGGCATGCTTCTTCAAGTGTTCACTCAGCCACCAAGTACCAAACACAAGGCAGATGGACACAGTGTTGAGAACAGAGGGTCCGTAACCAGTGGGTCCAAGCCCAAGATGACACATATCCAAGAGGTTTTGATTTGACATGTATCTCTGTCTCTTTACCAGGACAGGAGCTGGCCTCAGCTGTCAGCCTCGGAGGTCTGCTAAGGCTCCTTTCAGCAGGGTGGCAGGGTCTTGGGAAAGCACTATTTCTAAATCCCAGTTTCCTCCTTCCTGTGTGGCCCCAGCTACACCTGTCAAAGATTAGGTACTTCCACAGTTCTTGGCTCATGCATGTAAAACTAGCCATTTTTTAGGGCTGAGGTTGTGGCACAGTGGCAGAGCACTTGCCTAGCAGGCATGAGGTACTGGGTTCGATCCTCAGCACCATACATAACTAAATAAGTAAATAAATAAAGGTACATCAAATAAAAAGTATTTTTAAAAAACTAGCCATTTTTCACATGCTAAAGTCACATTCAATCGTAAAAACCACAATTGAGGGTTATCTTTTCTCTAATACCTGCTTTACCTATTGGGCATAACCAACAACCTCTTTTCAGTGTACCAATATAATTTTGTTCACTTTGCCGATAAAGTCCTTATCATGTGTTTAACAATCTACTTAATCTTAATGGAAGCTTAATATACTCAGATTTTGAGGGGAGAGACTATATATATATTCTAGCTAATACAGAATCTAGCATTCAATCGGCACTTAAAAATATCTGTCACTTCAATGATCTATTAGTTTTTACCTTATAATAGAATGGGCTTGATCTGGTTTTTAGGATATCCCATATGTAAATGGTGGGGCTTATGTCTTCTACCCAGACAACTCCCAATTTTCAAATTGGTCTTTAATTATACATCCTCAAGAGGGTACTCTTGCGCCAGGTATGGTTGGTGTGCCTGTAGGCCCAGTTCCTGGGAAGGCTGAGGCAGGGCAGCTTGAGTTTAAGAATGTAAAGCCAATTTGGGCAATACATAGAAGCCCCATCACAAAAAACAAAACAACGAAGACACTCTCATGATTAGCTATAAGATACACTATAACACAGAAACAGAGAAGTCTATTTACATGTTACTTACCTAAGGTCCATGCAAAATAGTATTTAGGTCTGGCAGCCAGTAGAGACATGTACAGATAGGTAATCTTGGTTGGCCATGAAGCTGTGGCTTGAAAGCGCTCGTCAATGTTGTACTCCACAGGCAACATGTTGGAGATGGTCAAGTGAACGAACAAGGAGAGCCCACACACCAGGAGTTTCTGAACCACGGATTCCTGCAAGGTGTGAGGCAGAGTCACCAACTGCATTCAAACCCCCTGAAGAGCTCTTACATGTTATCACTGATTCGCATCCTCAACCAGCACCAGCCCAAGGCAGGAGCTGCACAGCACTCAGGGTCTCAGGTGACCCATTGTCCCAAAGGAACAGCAGGAACGAAACCACAACTCAGACCAGAACCTAAGTTTGTGTTTTCAGAACTTTCAGGGAATAAAAAAATCTAAAAGCATGCACAAGGCTAAAGATGTGAATGCAAATGGATACCAAAAAATATTAACACTATAACGTTTGGTAGATTTTTATGTGAAAGTTAAAATTGATATTAATGTATGTTATTTGGAATCACAAATTGCTAAATTCATTTCCACACTAAAAAACACTTGCAAATTTCCTGGGAGGCAGGTTGCCCAAGGTACAGACCTGGCTGCATCTGTGACGGGAGATGGGGGGATGGGGGACATGGGGTTGACACCTCCAGGTTTATCTCCCCAATTCTCTTCTTTTTTTTTTAATATTTACTTTTTAGTTGTACACAATACCTTTATTTTGTTTGTTTTTATGTGGTGCTGAGGTTCAAACCCAGGGCCTCGCACATGCTAGGCGAGTGCTCTACCGCTGAGCCACAACCTCAGCCCTCTCTTCTGTTTTTAAAATGTGTGTGTGTATGTGTACACAATCATAAATAGACAAACAAACATACAGACACGCTTTGACTCTTGCTTGTTTGTTCTTTTTGTTTGGGCTGTGCTTCTTTTCCTACTTAGCACAGGGACATTTGGCAGAGGGAACTGTATACTTTTTTTTATTATTGATTTTATTTTTTATTTTTTAAATGACAGTAGAATGCGTTACAATTCTTATTACACATATAGAGCACAATTTTTCATATCTGTTTGTATATTTAAAAGTGTGTTCACACCAGTTCATGTCTTCATACATGTACTTTAGATAATGATGTCTATCACAGTCCACCATCATCATTGCTAACCCCCTGACCCACCCTTACCCTCCCACCCCTCTGCCCGATCTATTCCTCCCACGTTCCCCCTCCCTACCCAATTATATCAGAGAAAACATTCATTATTTTTTTTTGGCGGGGGGATTGGCTAACTTCACTTAGCATTATTTTCTCCAACGCCATCCATTTACCTGCAAATGCCATTTTATTCTCTTTTACTGCTGAATAATATTCCATTGTGTATATATGCCACATTTTTTAATCCATTCATCTACTGAGGAGCATGTAGGTTGGTTCCACAGTTTAGCTATTGTGAATTGTACTGCTACAAACATTGATGTGGCTGTGTCCCTGTGGTATGCTGTTAAGTCCTTTGACTCTTGCTTTTGAGTCATTTTATTTTTTTTTTTTGGCATTGTTATAAAAAGTATTAAAATAAACATGTTCTTTTATAAATTACTTAACTTGAATTTTATTTGGCTATTTAAAGTACAGAGCTCTCTAAATCCAGGTATTCTGTTATACATTCCTTTATCTGGATATATATATATATATATATATATATATATATATATATATATATACACACACACATTCATATATATATTCCTTTACCTTTTTTCCACTTGTATCTTTTTTCTGTATAAATATATAAACATCTATGTGTGTATATTTATATTTTTATGTGTATATACACATATGCATATTTTATTGTGCTTCATATACTTTCCAGGTTCTAGGCATTTCATGAACATTATTTATATAATAGACAATATATACATCTCTTTAATGGTGAAAAAAAAATTTTTTTTTTTTTTTGGCAGTATTAGGGAGAAGACCCAGGGCTCAGAACCTGCTAGGCAAGTGCTCTACCAGTGAACTATACCCTAGACCTCTTGGTGTTCTGTGGATTTAAAACTATACTACTTGTGTATTTTTAGAAGACCAGAATATTTCAAACTCATTCAATATAAAAGAGATGATTCAGGTCATGAAGGAAAAGACACAAGTGGAAAAAAGAAAAAGCTATATCCAAATAAAGAAATGTATAACAGAATACCTAGATTTAGAGTGCTCTGTACTATAAATAGCCAAGTAAAATTCAAATCAAGTAATTTATAAAAGAACATCTATGTTTTAATATTTTTTTATAACAATGCCAAAAGAGTAACTCAAAGGCAAGAGTTAAAGCATACGCTAGTTGAGCACAGTAGCACATACCTATAACCCTAGTGGCTTGGGAGGCTGAGGCAGAAGGATTTCAAGTTGAAAGCCAGCCTCAGCAAAAGCGAGGTGCTAAGCAATTCAGTGAAGTCCTGTCTCTAAATAAAATACAAAATAGGGATGGGGACGTGACTCAGTGGTTTACTGCTCCTGAGTTCTATCCCAGGTACACCCCCTCTGCCCCTCCCAAAAAGCATGTTAAATTCTTTGCAGTTCTTAAAAAACTATTCATTTTATTCTTAGTTGCTCCTTCTTGGTATTGAGGGCTCAAGGACTTTTTTTTTTGGGGGGGGGGGATACCAAGGATTGAACTCAGAGGTACTCGGCCACTGAGTCACATCCCCAGCCCTATTTTGTATTTTATTTAGAGACAGGATCTCACTGATCAAGGACTTCTTGCTGCACCTTTTTATACTGGGAACTAAACCTAAGCTCCCACATTAGGCAAGCACTCTACCACTAATCTACATCCCAACTCTTTTTTATTTTTTTGAGACAGGACCTTGATAAGTTTCCCTGGCCTCTTAACAAAAAATCCTCCTGCCTCAGTCTCCCAAATAGCTGGGATTCCAGGTATGTACCATCACACTCAGCAAGGCTACTCTTTCTTTACACAGTCTTCAAATAGCTTACCTATACATTTGAATAAAGGCATTTTAAAAAATAGAGAACAACTAAAAATTGAAAATGAAGTCAGATAAGATAAATGACCCTATATATTAGCCTAAAAATGAGGTATAAAATACTGTGGCCATTACACTATGTCTAGGGGAAGGAAGGAAGGGAGGGAGGGAGGGAGGGAGGGAGGGAGGGAGGGAGGGAAAGAAAGAAGGAAGCAAAGAAAATTAAAGTACCATAGATGTGATCTCAACTTCAAAGAGGCATAGATAGCAGTGAGAACCAATCAGTGCAGGCATCAGGTATCTTTGAAAAATGGGGGAAAAGCAGGAGGCCTAAACCTGGGAGAAGAGCTTGTGGAAAGGCAGTTTTAGCCAGGTTTCTCTAGCCACCTGCTTCGTAAGGTGGGAGTATGTGGTGTGTGTATACCACCCCCATATACACCTGATTTACACAGAGAAGATGCCTTAATTTAGAGAGGCAGATACCCCTCCATCTTTCTAGCAGGAGGCTGGAAATATCCAGGCTTAGAGACAGGTCTGGAGTAGGCTGGGTAAGATGCTAGAATGAACGTGGAGAGCCTGGAGAAAGTCCACCTCCCAAGGGATACCCTCTGCCCCTGCTCCTGCCCCCCTCCATGACCACCAGTCAAGTCTGTGATGAACAGAAGATTGGGAGATCTCTTACTCTAGAAACCAAACAGCCCCAGAGCAAAGGCCCACAGACATCAGGAGGGACTGGCCAGTGTTGCCTGGGAGCTACCCTCCTCCACAGAGCAGAGGAAATGGCACTTAGGCACAGGCAAGTCCAGCTCAAGATGCATCTCTCAGCCTCTTGGAGCCGAGTGAAACTATGCAATTAATTTTGATCAAGGGAATGTGAGAAACTCTGTGGGGGCACCATGATATCCACAGACTGCAACACCCAAGCTGCTACGTGAGATAAGCTGCTACTTTGTTTAAAACCAACTATTACTTTGTCCTACATTAACTAATGTAGATAAAGAGAACTGGGAGGAACCAACCAAAGAGCCAACTGGCTACCTGACTATCCTACTTTGGACTCTAAGAGTATGCACGGCCCATGGAGGCACAAAGAGTTTCCAAATGCAACTTGAGGGATTTATAAGTAATTACTGCTATTTGACTTTGTCAAGTATATGCCTATGGAATTTACACAAAATATACTAAAATGATGAGAAATTTTAAAATGATATTTGCCACTGTCAACAACTTCTGATAATATCTATAGCCCAAAAGGAAAGCAAGATTTTATAAGAGTAAATTCCACACAAAATAAAGTGAGGTGATATAAGCCTGTATTATTGTTGGGTTTGGTTCACTACTACACTCACATGTTTATAGTTCTTGATATTTTTTCAAATATTTTACAAAATCCCTTGCTCTTCAGATACTCCCTAAAGTGGGGAAGACATGAAGAAAGGGACTCAACATTAACTGATGAGCTCACATGATAAAGCTGAACCTATCACTAAATGTCCAGCATCTTGACCCCCAGGTTTCCATTCTCCTTTCAGTACTCCACTAAACTTATACAAGTTGTCTGTACCATTCTCCCTCAGTGTCCACAGAGGTTCCAGGACTCCTTCCAAATACCAAAACCTGCAGATGCACAAGCACCTTATATATAATGGTGTAATATTTGAATATAGGCTATGCATATCCTCCCATATGCTTCAAGTCATCTCTGGATGACTTACAACAGCTACTACAAAGTGCTGATAAATAGCTGTAATACTGTATTGATGAAGGAATAGGACAAATGTGGACATGCTCAATACAGATGCAATTAAAAAATATTTCTGGTTCAACCTGTGCATACAGAATCCTCAGATCTCAAGGGCCAACTATAATTACCTTCACTTTCTGTTATAGAAGTGAGGCCTCTGAAGGATTAAGTCTCAGACTGGACACATGAAATACTCAATGGCAGAGATTCCAATTTCAAGTCTGAGTCCAACCTAGTTTGATCTGGCATTTCTCAATTAGTACTTAACCAGTAATGAAAAATATGGAGAATAAAACATCCTTCTGGCATGAAACACAATGAGCCACATGGTACAGAAGAAGTTCTGCAAAAGGTTCCACAGTTTTTCACTCACACTTTGCTGCCTGCACATATGCAGGTCGGTGGCTCTGAGAGGAAAGGTGGTGACCCTTTGCTCCAAGCCACATGCAGAGGAAGCACAGGAGCCCCTCTTCTCCATCACACAAACTTTCTGATTAGCCTATGATTTCCCAGGGAATACTTGATTGAATGCAAGGGAAAAAGCCTATAGGAAGCCTGGATGCCTTAGAGCATTCTTTAAAATGCTCTAACTGTGCAGTCCAAACACCCCTGCAGTTCAAAGGACATAAAATTGTATTCATTTGGGAGGCAATTTAAGTACAAACTCCAGAGCCAGGCTATATGGGTCTCAATTCCAATTCTCCTCCAGTCACCCAGGAAAGCCTGGTCTAAGGGCTGCGCCTTCCTGTCAGTACTCTCCCCAAGGCAGTGAGGAGAGCGAATACCTCCCAGGACTGCTGGGAAGGCTGCGTAGCAGCTGCCAGGGAGGGGCTTTGTAGAGCCCGGCCAAGTGAGAATTACTAGCATCACTTTACTGCAGGGACCAGAAACAGCTTCATGGAAAAGACGATATGTGAAGCAGCCATTTAAAAAGGAACAAGATCTTGACGGGCAACAATTAGGATGAGGAGGGTAAAGCAGGAAATCAAAAGGAGAACAGTGCTTCCTACATGCGAATCCCAAGGCACAGGCCAAGGCATCAGCCTGGAAGGTGATCCGGGTCCAGTCCAGAAGGGAGGGCTCGCATGTAAAACAACGCCACACCCTTATACCACATCATTCTCACTAAGGGATTCAGCACGTAGAGTCTGTTCTTTAATCATGACTGTACTTCTACAAGGCATCACTACTAAGTATAATGTGAAGAATCGTTTATCTTGAAAAATATCTATAAAGAAATAGGGAAATTCAAAATGTGAAAACATCATTTTAAAATAAGATGAATGGGGCTGGGGATGTGGCTCAAGCGGTAGCGCGCTCGCCTGGCATGCGTGCGGCCCGGGTTCGATCCTCAGCACCACATACAGACAAAGATGTTGTGTCTGCCAAATACTTAAAAAAAAATAAATATTAAAATTCTCTCTCTCTCTCCCTCTTTCTCACTCTCTCTCACTCTTTCTTAAAAAAAAAAAAAAAAAAAAAAAAAAAAATAAAATAAGATGAATGAACACGTGTTTTCATAAAGGTTCCAGATACATGTCGTGGGCTTACGTTTGGAGATGGCTCTGTTCTCTCATACTGCACCTCTTCTTTTCCGTTTTCACCTGACTGTGTCATGTGGTACGACCTGCCTTCAATGAAAGTAATGTAGTCTTTGTAAGAGCAGAGTGGGCCCGCCAGGATGCCCATGAAGTTACAGTTGTAACTTACATACTCCAGGAGGCTTGGCATGCGCCTGCAAGGAAAAGACGTGCAATTGTGAGATGAAACCGTTTGAAAGATTTCACAGGAATAATATTATCTACTTCTGTTTTCATCATGTTCACAATAAAAGAAGATTAAATTTTCATCTGCACCCACACAGTAAAAACTTAAAAGACTGGGATGTGGTAAGGCCCAACAGTATTTCTGGGTTTGAGAGTTTCTATGAGCACCTGTATTAGCAACTACATTTCTACATAGATTTCTCACTGAGAAAGAAACCTAAGGCAGACACGACATGGCATAAAGAGTCATCTATTCCTAGTCACTTGCTCACTCATTCAACAAATACATGTTGGGTATCAACTACCAGCATGTGCCCAGCATGCTCCAGTGTCTTCAGATACAGCAGTCAACAAATAGAAATTCTGCATCATGAAGCTTACTTACCAGCTACAGAAATTAGATGATCAAATACATACATATATTATTTCCAGAAATGCTAAGTGCTCCAAAGAGAAGGTGGTATTCTATAATATTAGGAAGTCAGAAGCTTGTTGCAATGGTGCACACCTGTAATCCAGCAACTCAGGAGGCTGAGGTAGGAGGATGGTGAGGAGTTCAGGGGCAGCCTTAGCAACTTAGCAAAGCCCTAAGCAATTTAGAGAGACCCTGTCTCAAAAAATAAAAAATAAAAAGGACTAGGGATATAGCTCAGTGGTAGAGCATTCCTGGGCATAATCGCTAGTACAAAAACATAAATAAATAAAAGACAAAAAGAAGTATCGGGCTGGGGATGTGGCTCAAGTGGTAGCGCGCTTGCCTGGCATGCGCGCGGCCCGGGTTCGATCCTCAGCACCACATACAAACAAAGATGTTGTGTCCGCCGAAAACTAAAAATAAATAAATAAATAAATATTAAAAAAAAAAAAGTATCAAAAGGCCTCACTTGTAAGGCACCTTTGGATAAAAGACCAGAAGGAAGTGAGAGGTGTGTGAATGTTGGTGGTGACAATTCCAGATACAGGCAATGGCCAATGATACGCCCCTAAGCAAGGCATGCCCACAGCAGGATGGCCACAGGCTGGAGCACACTGACCTGGGACAAAGGTGGGTTGTGGGACCTGCCTCCTAAGTCATGGTAGGAACCATGGGTTTCATTATGAATGAGATGAAAACTATAGGAGGGTTTTAAAGATCTGTGTTTCAGAAGCATCACTCTCGTCCCTGTACACAAACAGAGCAAGGGAGAAGTAGGGGGCAACCAAGGCATGGGGGGCCTTGGGGTGCACCCTGCATCAATTTTGGCAGTAGAACCGTGGGATCTGCTGATGGGTCACCACAGGGCCCACAAGGCAAAGGAGTCCAGTGCATCTGAAAACATTTTTAATTTCATTGCCTTGAGGCCTATCCAAATGGCATGTGATATCCAAAGTATACCAAGCATCCTGGTTCTCAATGCAAACAGCAGGGTAAAAGTGAGTGCTCAATACAGACAACTACAGACTACACGTTATCATATAAATGAGTAAGGGGCATATGTGTTTATTTCTTAACACAAGTTCTACTAAGCAAGTCTACTGTTTGCTGCTAGTTACAAACCATCACAGATAAAAGAAGAACCTGGGGGCAGTGAATAGTGTTCTTGAACAAGCTATAATCTTTTCTCTAAATGAGACATGATCGCTCTTAAAAACACACTCTGGACAACGAGAGACAGAGAGTGTGTGTGTGTGTGTGTGTGTGTATTATTTTTATGTAAAACTAACCTATAGAACAACACACTACATCCTGCCCTTTGACACTGTTTAGATGAACAGCCAAAACTCCTTTTATAATTTTTTCAGAATTATTGTTGTACATTTAAGTATTTGGAATCTTAAATATTTTCCCCTTTGAGCTCAAAGCTGATGGGTGAGAATGTTTCTAGCATTCGCCATTGGCTTGTCCTGCATAATACTGACACAAAACACTTTCCCACCGCACCAAACACTGGACAGGCACCTGCAATCTCTGAGGAACATAGACACTCCATGTCCCCCGGCTGCACAGCTCCACTCTTAGCATCAATTCTTTTAGACCCAAACCTGGGTCAGGCTGACCCAGCACGGCTCAATCTCACCAAGTCAAAGTACTGTCTTGCAATGCACAAGGACAGGAGAAACGCTTAACCAGGAAACTTGCTGAAGTGATTCCCATTCAATTGTCATGTTGAATGAGTAGTTTTGTGCACTGACATAACCTCTGCTATTAAAATGAGAACTGAAGCCCGACTGTGATACTTCTTTATGATACAAAATCAAGTACTCATTCTTTCATTCCATCAATGCTGACGTGATACCAGCTATGCGTGGTCTTACGTTAAGATTTCTCAGCCCTAGAATTACAGACATTTTTTGGCAATAATTCCTTATTGTGGGGACTGTCCTGTGCACATAGAACGTCTGACAGCATCCCTGGCCCGTACCCACATGATATCAGTAACACCACCCACCAGTTGAGACAATCCAAAATGCCTCTTGACCTTGTCAAATGTCTCTGAAGGAAGAATCACTTTAATTAGTAAATCACTACTTAGGTGATAGGTTTTCAGATGACTGACAAACCAAAGTTCATGTCCTTAATGACTTTATGTTTGGGGGAGAGGGAGTGTGACAATTAAATAATGCTGTGTAAAATTTGACAGTAATACATATTAGGAAGAAAATCAAGGACATACCAGGGGCTAGAAAGTGAAAGGAGGGTAGGGAAGGAATTTTTGATAGGGTGGTCTGTAGAGGTAAGAGTGCACTGAAGTCAGGCATGGTAGTACACACCTGTCGTCCCAGTGACCTGGGAGGGTGAGGCAGGAGGATATCAGGTTGGGGCCAGATTTAGCAACCTAGAATGAAGCTGTCTCAAAATAAAAAATATAAACAGGGCTACGGATGTAGCTCAGTTGGGAGAGCACTTGCCTAGCAAGTGCAAGGCCCTGGGTTCAAACTGCAATACCAGGAAAGGAGGAAAAAAAAAAAAAAGAAATGTGGTAGTGCTCTGGGTTCCTATTGGGCCTTATGTGTTGTGGTCAGATGTCTGAAATTTTATTCTAAATTACATGGGAAACCATTGGAGGTTTTCATCAGGAAAGGCAATAATATAACCCAAAGCACATAAAGACTCTCTGGCTGCTAAGTGGAAAGGAAGCTACAAAGGACAGGAAAGAAAATAGAAAGACTAAGTTAGGGAAATAGGGAGACTAAGTTAGAAAACCTGCCAAGTAGAAAATGAGTGTCTGGGCAGAGCTGAGAGCAGTGGGAATGGTGAGCCATGGTCAGGTTCAAGAGGCAGGAGGATATCAAGTCGAAAGGACCTTGACTCACTGGTAAAGTGGATTTATACTAAGAAAATCCCCCCCGAAGGCACCAGTGATGGCGGGCACTGTAATTAACTACAAGGCAACAATGGTGAGAAACAGGAGTGGGGGAAGGAAGAGAGACAGACCAGAGTTCTGTGCTGAACGCGGCTATCACTGTCAGTGCAGCGACACTGATAATGAGGCCGGGGCTCAGGAGAGACAGCAACATGTAGGTGGTACGCAGAGGAACTGGGCTGCAGGTGAGCACCTGGAAAAACATGAGATATCTGGCCTGAGTCGTGGAGCACACCAACAGTGCAGGAGATGAAGGGACAGAGACGGAAGAGGAAAATCACATGATGCAGTATCCTGGAAGGCTGGCAAGGAGGGCATCTCAAAGTCAGGGGTCAGCAGGCAACTACCACCAAATGGTTGAGCACCTCAAAAAACAAGCTAACAGTGAAATTTGCTAAGACTATGAGCAACGTGGAAAGAACGGGGACAAAAACCTGACTGGAGGGGCAGGTGAGAGAAAGGGGGTGGGGGCATGTAAACAAGAACACCCTGAAGCCAGCCTCTTCCCTTAGGCTGGTGGGAATGATCCACACGGAGGGGGAGAAAAGAGGAGGAACGGGGCAGAGTCAGTGTGGAAGTGAACAGTGGATTACAGACACTTAATTCCTGGCTCGAGGAAAGAAAGTAGAGAATTTCTTTTCAGATCTCAGGCGGTTCTGAGGGGCACTTTCTTTTGCTTTGTGTTTTTGTGGTGCTAAGGATGGGTCCCCACCCGTGCAGGTCCACAGTTCTGCTGAGCCACGTTCCCAGCCCACCTAATAGGCTCTGGGATCGTAGAATAAAGTAGAGTTGCTTTTATTTTCTCCAAAAAATAAAGTTTGGGGAGTCTGGGAGAAAGGAGACTATGTAATGTCACAGGAGAGGGAGAGCTGCGGAAACCAAGGATGGCACTGACAGCCCGTGACAGATTCAAAACCAAAACAGCCACAGCCAGGGTCTTCCCCCAGCTCCCTCCACTGTTCAGGCAGGGGGAGAGCTGAATTGAACCAGGTCTGGGGATCCGTCAGGTGGCTATTCAAGAGGGAAAGGGGAAACAGAGCACAGGGTGCTGGATCAGGAACTCAGAAAGGCTGGAGAACCAGATCCAATTAATCCTCATCAGTCAGTGCCCCCGAGGAGCTGGGTACTGGTAACAAGACAGAGAATATCAGAATAAAACACTTTTTTTTTTAAATGCTGATTTTTTTTCCTTTTTGGGAGGGGGGTTTTAATTTTGAAGAATTTGCATTTTGACACAACATCCATAAATGGAATACAACCTCTCATTCTCTGGTTGTATATGACGTAGTGTTACACAGGTCTACATGCAGTCATATGTACATAGGGTAATAATGTCCGATTCATTCTACTATCGTTCCTACGCCCCAGCCCCCTCTCCTTCCTTCATTCCCCTCTGTCTAATCCAAATTACCTCAATTCTTCCCTAGCCCCTGACCCTTATTGTGAATTAGTATCCACATATCAGAGAAAACTTTCGGTCTTTGGTTCTTTGGGACTGTCTTATTTCGCATAGCACAATATTTTCCAGTTCTACCCACTTAACAGCAAATGCCATAATTTCATTCTTCTTTAAGGCTGAGTAACATTCCAATGTGTATGTATGTATGTATGTATATGTGTGTGTGTGTGTATATATATATATACATATATACATATACATATACATATATACCACAATTTCTTTATCTATAAAACAGAACATTTTTTAAAGGCATGCTCCTTGGGATCCAAGGGGAACATCTGTTACAGGTCTGTCTACTGTCACAAACGTCATCTCATTCTGCTAGTAGATGTGTACTTACCAGCTGAAGACTCAGGAATAAGTATTCTATAGGAAATTTTTCTTTAAGTAAAATGAGTATCTGATCTCTAACTATATTAGTTGAGACAGACCTTGCCAGACATTGAGCTATTCTTTAGATTATGCGACAGAATATTGGTAACAAATGAAGAAGCAGCCTACGCCAGAATTAATGTCTCAAGTTAACAATAAGCAATATCTGAATGGTCCTTCATTTTTTCAAAATGTGGCATCTGTGTGTTATATTGATATATTCTGTCTTGGCCAATGCCTGCTATCAAGTTACTGGTCTACGAATGGTGGCTACGACTACTACTAATAATTACTACGGGGGAGACATACTATCATCCGCATTAAAGGAACTCAAGAGTCCCAGGGAGAAAAACTTAGCAGACGGCCTCCTGGTCCACAGGAGCTGTGTACTCTATGAATACCCGGGGGCAAGGGTCTAGGGGAGCTAGTCTCACATGGCAATGTGTAGTGGCAGGGAGGTAGGAGAGGGAAGCAGCCTGGGCTTGCCTGGGCTTTCCTGAACCAGATAACTCTAGAAAGACCAAGAAGCCTTGGCCGCACAAGTAATGCATATTCTAGGCAGAGGTGGTCCGCGAACCTGGCAGGACATAATACAAAGGCACAAACCTTACAGCCAAGCCCCTCTGTGATGGAGTCAGTTCTTCATCCTTTCGAACCATCCCTGAGAAACAAACAAAGGTAATTAGATCAATTATGAATTCTCCCAAGAGGGCATTTTTCCCCATTCATGCTTACATCACCTGAAATTCATGCTATATTCTCAACAACTGTCCCTTTCTTTCTCATGGCAACAGTTTCAAACATGTGAAAGGACCATCATGCAGTCTAACACACCCAGGTCTGTATAAGATAAACAGCACACTGTCAGCAAACAAAGCCACTAACATGACTGCTGTCTAAAGGAAACTTGTTAAATTTTAAAAATTCTGATATGCTAGTACTTTTTAAACAAAAAAATTTTTTAGTTGTTGACAGACCTTTATTTTATTTATTTACATGCGGTGCTGAGAATCGAACCTAGTGCCTCAAACATGCCAGGCAAGTGTGCTCCTGCTGAGCCCCAGGCCCAGACCCATGCTGCTACTGTTTAAACTTACAAATGTATTATTCTTAACAGTAAACGCTATGACTTTTCAAAAAAGCAGCCTTAATTTTTTTTGATTGTTGGATGATTTAAATCACTAAACATCTGTGCTACAAAGTAGAATCTCAACATAAAGCAAGGAATAATTTCCTTACCCCACATGACTCCAATGAACAGAAACTCAAATCAAAATTGTATTCAAATATATTTCTTCCCAAATAGGAAGTTATTTCTATGACTACATATCAGTTTACTAGATCTATATCCTTTAAAATATATATACCCTAAATCCAATCTAAAGACCAAAAGGGGACTAAATTAAGAAGCAAATAACAGACTTAGGAAATATTTACAGCAAACATGATACAGTGTTAACATACCCTTAAGAATCAAAACCAAACCAACCAAAACACATTAAGGCGGACAGGAAAACATGAAAAACAAACCATACAAGAAACCAGCATTCAGTTAATGTATAAAATGCTACCTTTATGATTAATGATGATGACAGATTTGCAATTTCATTAACAATGAAAATGTGATCATATAACATGATCTCAATTATGTAATACATTTTAATATTATTATGTGTGTATACAAAACAAAGATAAGAAGAAAATTGTTAGTCTTAAAATGCCACAGGAACTATCCTATGGCCTAGGAACCTAAAATGCCTAGGAACTATCCTAGGCACTGGAAGCAGAGGAAAATAGAATATAAGTGTTGCAGCACTTATATTCTGGTAGGGAGAAAGAATACAAATAAAAAATAAATGGACTACTAAGAAAAACCCATGTCATCTTCCTCTCCACCAGTGGAAAAAAGCACCAGGACTCTAATGTAAGGAAATGACACAAAGGTGTGATTTGAAATGCACTATGGATCATCACAGCCTTGTACATAATAGGGAAAAAAAAAAAAAAAGAAACTACCTATGTATACAACAATTAGGGAATGGGCAAATAACTGCACATTTACTTTTTTTTTTTTTAATATTTTTTAGTTGTAGTTGACAATACCTTTATTTTATTTATTTATTTTATGTGGTGCTGAAGATTGAACCCAGGGCCTTGCATATGCCAAGCGAGCACTTTACAGCTGAGCCACAACCCCAGCCCCCACATTTATTTTTGATAATTATATAAAAAGAAAACTAGGGCCTGGGGTTGTGGCTCAGAGGTAGTGCTCGCTTAGCACATACGAGGCACTGGGTTCGATCCTCAACACCACAGATAAATAATAATAAATTAAATAAAGGTACTGTGTCCAACTACAACAACAAAAATATTTTAAAGAGAACCAGGCTTCCTAAGAGCACAAAGGAAACATTAGTACAAAGCAGCTCTGGCTCTGAAGAGCTCTGGCAGACAGACACAAAGGATCATTATTTTTTCCTTTGGACTTAATTTGCATTTTCAAATTTCCTTCAGTGAATATATACCTACATTTTGTAATCAGAAGGAAAAAACCTTAAAACTGTAGACCAGAGAAAGGTGAACAGTGGTCCGGAAGAAGCCACGGAAGACTTCTGGGACTTTAAACTCTGCTTTCTTCCCCAGGTCAGAAACACTGCTGTCCATCACTTTCTTTCTTTCTTTTCTTTTCTTTTCTTTTTTTTCTTTGTTAATAGTCTCTATATTTTTTAGTTATAGTGGACACAATATCTCTATTTATTTACTTTTATGTGGTGCTGAGGATCAAACCCTGAGCTTCACACATGCCAGGCAAGCGCTCTACCACTGAGCCACAACCCCAGCCCCTGTCTACCATTTTCTTAAAAACAAAAAGAAACCAAGGGCTCTCTCTGGAAATGAGGATCAGTATTTTCTAGAAAAGCTCCTTACCATTCTGTGGGCAGGGACATTGCTCCTTTTACCAGGAAGGGGCCACGGTAACAGCCCCGTTTGGGAAGCCAAGCCATGCTCCATGTCATATTTGTGCTGTTTTGTCAGCATTTCCACGCCTTTGGTGTCGTGGGCTTCTGTGTCCATTTGATTTGCTATCCTGACCGGGGAGGCTACTATCATTTTAGAGTAGCAAATGAGCCAAGGAAAGTAGAAATGGGCTTAAAGGAGATTCTCTTAGACCCGTTCTGTGTTTTGTGTTTCCCTGTACAAGGAATTGAGCCTCCCTTCTCAGTTCACAAATTGGGCACTTAAATAGAATGACCAAAAACAGATTAAAGACAAGATGCTAGTTTTTAAAGCCAGAAATCCAACCTAGTACAAGTCATGCAGCCTGCATCTGATAGGAAACAAGGCTCCCCGCCTTCCCACGCCAGGCACAGGCCCCAGCAACACTGCACGGTCCTCCTGGGAGGCGCCAGAGAAAACATGCCACACACTCCCGCAGCCAGGCAACAAGCACATCTTCAGGACCTCATCTACCTGAGGCCTCAGCAATGCCATACGCATACTTCAAAACCAGAAGGAAAGAGAGGGAGGGAGAAAGAATACAAATAAAAAATCTCATCTCATCACCAATCCTGTGAGGGTGACGAGATGTCTGAAAATCACGTCTAGCAGTTTCCGAGACCAAAGAGCACCTGCTTCCTGAGGCTGCCTGTGTGAGCACTGCCCCAGGGTGGCCTCTGAAAAAAGACCAGAGACTCAGAGAAAGGCCCCACCTGCTGAGCCTGCAGTGCTCAGAAAGGCCTACTGGTAAGAAGATGGACCTAGGGCTCACTGAGTTGGCAAAATGTCCCTACCAATATAAATGCTCTCTTATGCCAGATGCAGTGGCACATGCCTGTAATCCCAGGCTGAAGCAGAAGGATCACAAGTTTGAGACCAGTCTCTGCTGTTGAGGCTCTAAGAAACTTAGCAAGACCTTGTCTCAAAATAAAAAAATTTTAAAAAGTCTGGGGATATGGCTCAGTAGCAAAGTGCCCCTGGGTTCAATTCCCAGTTCCAAAAGAATAAAAGAACAGACCAATGCTCCTCATATCTGGACAGTTTGTGCCAACAATATTACTTACTGTGAAGTCCTGCTTGCCCTCTGGGTGCCTATGTGACTGGTCCCTAAAAGCCTTGGGTGCCGAGTCCTAGCGAACTCCCCGGCAGGCCACACTTCTCAGGCCTTGCTGTGACTTGCTGCTGGGGGATCCAGCACATCCTCTGGAACTGCACTGGGGACTCCTGGAAACCTGAGCCTGTTTTCCTCCAGACCACACTACAAGTCCTTTTGATTCTGATCAACTTTGCCTGGAATCCTCACTGTAGCAAGTATGAGACATGAATTCAATGACACGGTGAGTTGAATGGGCTTGGTGTCCCCAACACACAGATGAGGAGGCCCTCCTTTGTAAGACTGCTGGGGAAACAGGCCAGAGGGCCAACCCTCTGCCCCGTGAGCATCAAGTGGCAGGGTATGGATGCAGCAGGGCCAGCCTAGGAGACCAGGAGAATGGACTGAGGCAGATTGCAGGGGCACCATTTTGAAGTCTAAACTCTTCAACTATTGCCAAGGCTAAACAAAATCTAAACTGCTCCAAAGAAATAACTAAAAGAACAGGTCAGGAAATGAAGTTCTGCTGCTTTTTTTTTTTTAAAAGCTCTGAGTTGAATATATATTCTCATGTGCTTCTAAACCAATAAAATTAGATCCCTGATCCTGACTTTCCTACATTTTCCTCCCAGAGTCCTGGGCATGATTCAGGATGTGGAAGTCTCAGCACCCAAAGATAACTTAAAGTTTCATGACTGGTTTAGTACCCTGTCTGGAGAGCACTACCCACTTCACTGTTGAGGACATGAACCCGTGAGACAATATAAATCAGCTATTATCCCTTGAAAAGATCCTCCAAAGGGGATCTCGAACTATGACTTTACATATGAGAAACCTGAAACAGGAATGTGCCGCCCTCAGAGGCCATCTCTGTCTCAGCTGCCACCACCCCACAGAGACTCAGATGCCAGTTCTGCCTCTCCCTGCCTCAGATCTCCACATCAGAAGGACAGACGTTGAGTTGCTGTTCAATACACACATCTGATTAAACAAGTATTTGAGACTCCTTGAAAGTCATCTATTCTCTCCCTCTATTCCTCCAAAAAGCTAAGTCGTTTGATTCTGCTTGTCAGTAGCCAAAGGGTAGAAGAGGAACACCCTCCCTCTCTTCACAGCTTTGTCAAGGCTGGCCCCTAACTGTACAGTGCATTCTGGCTGCAGTGGGCACAGGCTGGGTGGAGGGGGCACACGGGGCTCCAGGGATCACTCTTCCATCTCCAAAGAAACCAGAGCCTAAATTCTGTGATTCAGAGTTCTAACTGCTATCATTTCCTATGGTTACACGTCCATTTGAAATAAAATATATAAATGCTTACCCTAAAAGTGTATGTAAATATGTACCTATGCATTGTAAATATAAAGGGAGGGGTAGGAAAACATAAAAATTTTAATATAAATTCAAGGCAGAGATGAAACAGAAATGAAAGTAGATTTAGAACCAAAGTCTCTTTCCTTTGTATTTTAAATTGTCACTAACGTGGGCCAAATGATTGGATCTGCTACTTCACTTTTTGTTGCTGAACTGAATTAAAAATCAGGGTAGGGGGCTGGGGGGTGTGGCTCAGTGGTAGAGCGCTCGCCTAGCACACGTGAGGCACTGGGTTCAATCCTTAGCACCACATAAAAATGAAATAAAGATATTGTGTGACCACATACATCTAAAAAATAAATATTTAAAAAAAAAAAATCAAGGTAGGGTTGGGATGTAGCTCTAGGGTACAGCACTTGCCCGGCATCTGCAAGGCTCCAAGTTCCAACTGCAGGACTGCAAACAAGCCAACAAAGCAGAACAAAGAAGCCACCAGGGCAGCAAGCCTGCTCGGGCAGCCCAAGCCCCGTCAAACCCCCCGTCAAACCCCCACCTCACCGCATGCTGTCCTGGCACTCTGCGGGGAGAAGAGAACTGTGGTAGTATCTCAAGCAAAAGATTATTTGAATGGGACTATATTCAGAAATGAAGAATTAATTTCAGAATTCTTACCATCATGAATTTCATAAGCCAAACTGGTGATCTTCTGAGTGATGATCATCATCGGGCTACAACAGACAAAAGGCAGGAGGTTTAAAAGAGGAAAGTCAAAGCACTAAAGGCATGTAAAGAGAGTTCACTCCTCTTAGGGGACTACAGAATGATGACATTTCTACCATAAATGGGATTTCAAGACCAGGGGTCTTCTGTGAGCCAGTGATCAGGTCCTATCTCTTCATTTCATGCCCCAGAAAAGGACGTCCAGAGGTCACACACCTGGCCTCTTGTGACCCAGCACCTCCTTCAACACACACTGCCAGCTGCTGCCTCCAGCCCGGGTGGGGGAAGGTAGGACATGACTGCCTGGGAAAGGCGAAGGGCTGGGAGACAAGGGCGTCTGGGTGAGAAGTGGGAGAGGTGAGGGCAACAGCACAGGGAGGAGGAAAGGAGAACAGGGACTGCTGCAACTTCCCTGATCTCAAAGCAGTGCATGCCAGCCACCACGCAGGGCAGGCCAGGCACAGCAGCTGAGCCTTATTTGAAGGAAAAGAGGACTTCAAAATCAAGTTGCAAGCAAGACAATGGCAACACTTCCCCCATTTTTAAAAAGTGTTCTAATTAAATGGATAATTTGGAAAGGAAAAAAATGAGCTACACAGGAAGCACATAGGAATGTGGGTGTGGTTCAGGGGTGGAGTGCTTGCCCAGCAAGCAGGCGGCTGGGTTCTACCCCTGGTACTGCAGACATAGTTACCTAGGTTAGGTTAATTTAATTTGGGAAACTGCAAAAACAAAAGGCATGAAATTCATTTGCTTGGAGGCAACACATGTACTCTGTGTGCCTGGAGCAGAACGTCTCACTGCACCCTCCTGGCAGAGACTCACCTGCACTAGGCAGGAGGGGCAGGGAGCTGACCCCACCAGGAGGAGTCTGTTTCCCCCACCACCTCTCTGCTCACAGCACAGTCGTGCAGTGCCAATGGCCACCTCTGGCAAACAACCGGTGTCTCTCAAGACAGGACACTAGTTACACTATGTCTCCCAATGTCGGCCCACAGTCTGAGGGCCTGTTTCCAACACTTCCACTCTAGAAAGCAGACGGGAACATGGCCCGTGAGCACGTGGGCTCCTCCTCCACACCTGACAGGCCAGGGTGGAAGAAACTCCAAGACTTAAGGGAGGGGACCTGTGTTTAGACCACACATTCCCAAGAAATCATTCCTCAGTCAGCCTAATCCCCCTCTGCTTGGAGAGCAGACTCATGCCCTCTAGGCTTCGAAGACCATCCTTCATGGGGCCGGGGTTGTGGCTCAGGGGTACAGTGCTCGCCTAGTGTAGGTGAGGCGCTGGGTTCAGTCCTCAGCACCACATAAAAATGAAATAAAGGTATTGTGTCCACCTACAACTAAAAAATAAATTAAAAAAAAAAGAGAGAGAGCATCCTTCATGATCTTAAGGACCATAAACCTGCTCTACCTCTTCCATTCCCCTGGGAAAAAAGTACCATTTTTCTCACCCTGCCTAATTCTCTTCTTAGTTTATCCTACCAGTAAATTATGAAAGCCATTTCAGTTCTAAAGTCTAATCCTCAAGTCACCTTAAAACATAATTAACTGATAAATTATTAAATTTAATCAACTCAGTGACATGGTAAGCTTCCAGGTATCATATATAAGATGTTCAAAATGCTTTCTGAATACTTGCCCACACTGTCCCCACCCACACTCTGCACCTTCATGCAACTTCTATTTCACCAGATGCAAGGGATGCAGAACCTCAGGATGTCATGCTCAGCTGGGAGAAGAGTTGGCTCATGGGTGCATGTGGGTTACGCTTCTGGAGCTGTGATGCAAAAAGACCTACAGCCCCTCCTTCAAGTCTCAGCCTGAAAGTTACTCTCTGTCCAAGAGGCCCTATGTCAAACAGCTCCGCTGCACAGATGCCCACACTCAGACACTCCAAATCATCAGCTGCACAGATACCCACACTCACACATTCCACCTCATCTCAGCTTCTTGTCTGTTTCTTTCAAGGTGTTTCTCATATTTGCAGTTCTTATGTTCATTAAATTACAATGGTTATTTTTAAAGTGTCTCCATTCTTCTTCTTCTTCTTCTTTTTTTTTTGGTGGTGATACTGGGGACTGAACCCAGAGGTGCTCTACCACCAAGTCACATCTCCAGTCCTTTTTTGAAATTTTGAGTCAGAGTCTCGCTCAATTGCTGGGCTGGCTTTGAACTTGCAATCCTCCTATCTCAGCCTCCCAAGTAGCTGGGATTACAGGGTGCTCCACTGTGCCCAGCAATCTCTCTCTTTAGAAGCCCATGAAGCAGGGAAGCCCAACGCCCTCCATACTGAACCTCCAACACACAGTTCAGCCTGGTACCAGACAGGAATACTGTAAAGACACAAAATGACGTGACCCTGCTAGGTGTCTACCCAAGAGGTGTCTCCTACAGGCAGTGACACTTCTCTCCATCTGTCCACTGTCACCACTGAAAGCATTTGTCATACTAAAATAAGACTGTTTACTTCTCTGTCACCACAAAAATACCCATGAACTATTCAATAGCAGGAACGCTGCCTTATCTTTGTGCCTTCAGAAATTGGCACCTGATACACAAAGTACTGCCTGGTTTATGAAACTGTCTCATAGTTGTTTCTGTTTCCTTTACTGGTGATCATCAGCCCCAAACATTCCCTTTGTTTTTAATTAATTAATTATTTATTTTTTAAAGATAAAGATAGACACAATATCTTTTTATTTTTTTTAATGTGGTGCTGAGGATTCAACCCAGGGTCTCACAACTGCCTCTGGCCCAACCTATCTTCAGGGCAATGGTGAATTTAAGAAAAGAACAGAAGGTAAAATTATCATAGAGTGACTACAAAGGGAAAGTCAGTGTGGGATAAAAGGTCTAAGAAGAGTTAAGAAGCAAGCGGCAGGTAAACAGACAGATGACTGCAGCCCAGCACAGGCACCGCGGGGAGGCAGAACAGAGCCAAGGGAATGTGCGGACCTCACCCTGTCAGCAGACGCTGCTGGACAGAGAGGCACCCCCCCAGTAAAACCAACACCACTAGCCACAGAAGCAAGCTGCAGATTTCAACAGCAAATATGTTCCCAAATATCTTTTTCAGGACAATCAGAGCGACTCTCCCAATTATTTCATTCTCACCTTTACTGATACTTTTAACTCTCCACTGGATTTGTGTAGAAAGGAACTCTTGACATGTTCCCCTCCCAGGTCCCAGGAAAGTCTGAGATAACCACGCCTGTTTCCCAGGGGGAGGCTGGGAGCTGGAGGGCAGGCAGGGGAGCAGAGGGCTCCAGGACCCGCCAAGGAAGAGTCAGTGGGACTTCCTCTTCCTTCTGTGTATCACAGCATCACTGTATTTAAATAGTATTATAGAAATTTTCTTCCAGGGAGACTCTGCTAGGAATGTAGGAAAACATGGAATCTAACTAGTCAAATAAATAAACTAATGGAACAGTTTCAGCTAATATAAATTAAAATACTCATGAGGTACAGAATTTTGAAACTCCAGACTTTCCAAAACAAAAAGGAGGAAAGGCTGTAAAAAATTTTAAAAATATTTACACGTTTCCCTACAAAGAACAAGAATAGTAGAAGTGGTTCTATAACAATGGACCCTCAGCTGTCGTTATACACTATTGGAGAAGGAAGGGTTAAATGAACACATGCTTTCTGAAGAAGTGCTCCATTATCTCTCCCAGACTACGGAACTCAAGTGATGCTTGTATGTTAATCTTACAAAGCTTCTACAGAGACCTACTAGGTAAATGGTCAGCTTGAGACTAGGATATCAATCACTTCAGCACAAGGCAAACTGTCAATTACCAACTCTCAGAAATCCCTAGGGACACAAGTACTCTTTATCCACAAAAAGTGGGGCTCACACCAAACCAACCCCACTTGCCTAATGCCAAACGCAGGCTGGAAGGCTCACTGAGATCAGAGTCCTGCACCCGTCATCTACTTGTTCTCTCATCTAGAAAACAAGCACTAGTGGGCATCTAAAATGCACCAAGCACCACTCCAAGTGCTGAAGACAGAGTGTGGACAAGACAAAGTCCGTCCCGTGGTGGATAGCAGTGGAGAGAGAGAGATTATAATGAAGAAGCAGGTAAACATACAGCATGCCAGATGTCACCAAGAGCTGCACAGTAAAAGAAGCAGGGAGTGCAGGACACAGGTGGGCACTGGCCATATCTGGAAAGTGGCTCCTAACAGAGAACAAGCCCATGGACACCTGGGGTGAATATCCAGGAGAGAGAGAAGCAAGTTCAGCAGCCCATGGACAGAGTCTGACTGCACAGGGTTGAGGAGGACAGGTCACTAAGACAGGCAGGAGGAAACAGAGTTGGCAGGCTTCGGTGGGGCACTGTGGCTTCAATCTGAGGCAGAGAACTCCTGGAAGAATTTAGGCCATGAGGTGATCAGGTTTTAAACAGAACCATTCTGACTCTGGGTTGAACAGTGACAGAGGGGTAGAGGGCAGGTAGGAAGGGACAGTGGCTCAGACCAGGGAACAGGACAGGTGTCTGCAGCCCATTCCAGGTATATTCTGAAGGTAAAGGCAACAGGGCTGAAGGAGCTTTGACACTGCATTTGATGCTGAGTTCAACACCCGACGCCACCAAGGTTTCTGAACAGGGATATCAACTATAAGAACAGGGCTGACTGGGAAGGAAGGCAGGGAGCGGAGACCATAGGGAAGGGGAGCCAGCTGGGGCGAGGTGTGCCCAGAGTGATGCCCACAGGAGGACACGTGGGATGTGCTGAGGAGGCATTTGGACACTGAGGTCAGAAAACACAAACCCAGCAGTCACAGCCGCGGGCACTATGGCATCTGGAGTTACAGTGAATGATGAAGTCATCAAAGTTTTTAATGATATGAAAGTAAGGAAATCTTCTACACAAGAGGAGATCAAAAAAAGAAAGAAAGCAGTTCTCTTCTGTTTAAGCGATGACAAAAGACAAATAATTGTAGAGGAAGCAAAGCAGATCTTGGTGGGTGACATTGGTGATACTGTAGAGGACCCCTACACATCTTTTGTGAAGTTGCTACCTCTGAATGATTGCCGATATGCTTTGTACGATGCCACATACGAAACAAAAGAGTCTAAGAAAGAAGACCTAGTATTTATATTCTGGGCTCCTGAAAGTGCACCCTTAAAAAGCAAGATGATTTATGCTAGCTCTAAAGATGCCATTAAAAAGAAATTCACAGGTATTAAACACGAGTGGCAAGTAAATGGCTTGGATGATATTAAGGACCGATCAACACTTGGAGAGAAATTGGGAGGCAATGTAGTAGTTTCACTTGAAGGAAAACCATTATAAAATGACCATCAAGTGCCATCTGGATCTTAAGGGGTTTCATTTCTCCAGCTCAGTCCATTGGAATAGCATTAGGTGTTTTTTCATTTTTTTTTTTTTTTTTTCCCTTTCCTCTGGGCCCTTCCAACACAGTGAATGAAGGAGATATCATTCATTTAAGCAGCCTGTCAGTGATTGCCATTAGACTCTTCAAAATGGTTATTTTTATGTAGAAGGAATGCCTTCCTGTCTTTATTTTAGCCAAAACAACTGGTTATATGCCTCCTTTGCAGCAAGCACTACAATGAATGTGATTGTCAATGTGAATAGTCTAGAATACTGCAAAGGGTAAGCAGATTGAATGCCTTGAAAGTATTATCCACTGGTCAGATGGTGAACTTTTTTCAGTATTATTATAGTTGCACTTGATTGTAGTTCTGTGAGGCGCTGGAGCATTCATACACCTCACCTGCCTTGGCAAGCCTTCTTTTGTGACATGGCAGCACGAATATAACACTATGCATTAAAAGCACTTTTGTTTTTTAAATGAGTTTAATCCCCCCAAAGGAATGCCAATTAAGTTTCATTAACTGTGTCATCAATTTATCCTAGTACCTCAGTGTTCATTCCTATTACCTACATATCTTCTTAAAAGAAATATCTGTTATTAATGCCTTTTTGTTTTCCATTGAGTGTACACTACTGAATAAGTGTAGGAGTTTTATGTTTACCATGTGAGTCTTGCGACACTAAAGATATTTTGAATATCAGTCATGATGGCAATTTCTGTATAAAAGAGCCTTAAATGGAACATTGTTTTGAGATCAAACTCCCCATCCTCACAAAAATGGCCACGTTGCAATAAAAATTGTGGCATGTTAAAAAAAAAAAAAAAAAAAAAGAAAACACAAACCCAACTCCACCACTCACCCTCGTGGAAGAGGGCCTTAGTTAACATTTTTCACAACTGTCCTTGTCTATAAAAAGGGGACCACACTGCCACCGTGGGGTTAAATGAAATGGCAATACGACAAAGCCCTTAGACAGTATCTGAGTCACAGATGTTGCTAAGCGCTAGCCCTGTCCGACATCCAGCCTTCTTCTGGCACATGTTGGAACTGCTACCAAGAGCAAGGCACTGGAGGGACACAACCATCCCGTGGCAGCGCTGCTCCTAAAGAGGCCTCCTGCCTAGAGCAGCATCAGCAGGGGCACGAGTGCAATGGCCTCCTCACCCTCAGTTACGATTTCTGTGGTTTTGATTACTAATTGCCAAACAAAATCTGAAGATACCAAATGGAAAATTCCACAAATATACACTTCCTAGGCTTTAAACTACATGTAGTTCTACGTAACAGGATGAAATCTTGTGCCTTTCCCTTGTGTCTCACTGGGGTTGCGAACCACTCGTCTGTCCATGCTGCATGCATCACCCATCCATCAGTCCTTTCCTAGCTGTCTTAGTTATGGTATCAACTGTCACAGCATCACATGCTTGATAATGTCCCCAAGTACACAAGTAGTGCTGACAGAATTTCAGATATGCCCAAGAAAAGCTGTAAGGTACTTCCCTTAGTGAATGTCAAAGCTGATCACAGCTCTGTAGATATAGGAAGAGGAACAGTGCATGGAGGGTCTGGTGCTATTGTGGTTCCAGACACCTCCTGTGGGTCTTGGGGTGCCTCCTAGGGGTAAAGGGGCTACTGTAACTACATAAACAAGTGTCAAGTGAAAAGCACAACAAATGTGCAGAGGTGAGAGAAACTTCACACCCACAGAGCCAAGGGGGAAATATCTCAAATAAGTTATTTAATTCAGTCCTTTAAGATTTGGGAGGTTTTGACAGGCAGATATGGTTGGAAAGCTGTTCCAAGCAGAGAACAGGGTGAACAAAAGTACTGCCAAAGAAAGAACAGGAGAGACAGACCTGAAAAGCTGTGAGGGGCTCTGTAGGCCTGTGTTAAGAAGCACTGTGTTTATTTTTTTTTTAATTAGAGCATTATAGTTATACATAGAAGTTGGGTTCATTTTGACAAAACTACACATGCAAGGAATTTGATACTCCATTTCAGCCCCTGGTCCCCTCCGCACGTATGTTTCTGATAGAGGTTATGCTGCATTGCCTTGTAACAGCCATAAACTCAGAGGAAAAGCCCAGGCATGGGTGGGGGACAGACAAATGATAAACAGGTTGTCTCTCTTCACCCACAGTCACCTGAGCCCTATTAGCAGCAGCTAGACAGGATGGTTCCTGTAGACAAATGTAGGTCAAGGGGTTGGGAGATACTCCCACAGGATGAACCAGGACAGGTGGAACACCATGGCTTGTGAGCACTTGAATAATTTAGTCACCCCATTTACAGCTGCTTCTGGGTGCACTGCGAGGCAGAGGAGGGTCACAAAGAGCGGCCTTTGTCCTCCTTTCACAGAAGGCGAAGAGATCCCTAAACTTAGACTCTGCATTTAAATACAGCTGAAGAGAGTAATGAAGGGGACAAATCACATCTGCAGTTCTGGAACCAGGGCCTGTCATTGCATGTGCTTAACAGAACTGTCACCTACAAAAGCACCTACCAGAAGGCACACCACCCCCACCAAGGACAGGCCCAGCTAAGCCACAGCGAGTAGCTTACTGAGCATCTGCTTCCGTCTGCTCTGCTGAGACAGAGTCTGGATTTGAATGGAAAATTATGTCACACATAGCTTTTTTTGGTAGACATATTAAAAAATCTCTTTGGCATCACAAAAATCAACATATTTCAATCAGAATTCATTATCCTTCTGCCAGAAAAACTGCTCTTGCCTCCATCTACAATTTGTCAATCTCCATGTGAGGTAAGGATCTGCCTTTCCCTCCTCCTCCTCCTGATGTCCTGGTGCTGAAGAAATGGGCCAGGCTTGCCCACTGGTTTTGATCCCACCATTGCTATTCGGTATTTTTATTCTTAAATCCCTGGGGTCTCTCCTTCTAGGTCCTCTACCCTGGCTTTCTTGATTTGTCTACTCCTATGTCAGTTCCATAGTATTTTAATGACCTTTTGGGAGGGGGGTTATTGGGGATTGAACCCAGGGGTATTCTACCCCTGAGCTACACCCCCAGTCCTTTTTACTTTAAGACAAGTTCTTGACCTTGAACATACCATGCACCTGTCTCCTCTTCAGGTCACTGGGATTACAGGTGTGTACCACTGCACCTGGCTTAATGATTCTTATTTTATAGACAGTAGCAATCTTTATACTGAGTTTACTACTCTCAAGAATTTAACCTTCCAGACAAACTTTTCAATCACTTTATCTTATCTCTATCAAAACCCCAATTTTTACCACATTCAGTGTCAGGTTAACAACAGGAAAATTACCATCCTTACAAAACTGAATTTTACTATTCTTATGAATGAATGATTCTCAAGTTAGTATTCAATGTCCTAGAATAAAAGTTTTAGTTTTCACACAGAAATCCTGCTCATTTTTTAAAACATGTATTCCTAGATATTTCATAGTTTTTACTGCTTCTGAAACTTCTGTGTTTTCTAATTGATTATTGTTGGTATAAAGGAAAACTATTTTGTTGTTTTATATTTCTCTTGTATCTATTTTCTTTTTCTTTTGGTACTGGGAATTGAACTCACAATGAGCCACATCCCCAGTCCTATTTTTTGTATTTTTATTTAGAGTCTCACTGAGTTGCTAAGTGCCTTGCTTTTGCTGAGGCTGGCCTTGAACTTATGATCCTCCTGCCTCAGCCTCCCCAACCGCTAGGATTACAGGCATGTGCCACAGTACCCAGCTCTTGTATCTATTTTCTAAGGCTAATCTAAGCTCTAACAATTTCAGCTTTCAATCTTTCCATAAATAGAAACTTCTATTAACAGACCATTTTAGGGGCTGGGGTTGTAGCTCAGGGGTAGAGCACTTACCTAGCATATGTGAGGCACTGAGTTCGATCCTCGGCACCACATCAAAAAATAAATAAAGTTATTGTGGCCATCTACAACTAAAAAATATCTTTTAAAAAAGAGTTCCTCTTGGGCTGGGGTTGTAGCTCAGTGGTACAGCGCTTACCTAGCATGTGTGACACACTGGGTTCGATTCTCAGCACCACATGTAAACAAAAAGTAAAGGTCCACTGACAACTACAATAATATTTTTTTAAAAAAAAGTTCCTATTATCTAATTAATGTTTTAAACATATCCTGAATTGTATGTGTACATACCTTGTGCAAAGACACCACCTGCCCCATCAACTTAGAAGAAGTTGCCAGAGAGCCTGAAGGAGGTGGAAATACAAGAAAGAAAGGGCCTGGTCCCCTAAGTTATTGTGTGGAATGGAAGCGTCATCCTCAGTGAACTGTAACGTGAATGAGAAGTAAAGTCTTATGTTATTCCACTGAAGTTATGTGACTGTGTAACAGCAGGTAGCCTATCCCTAGCTAATACGGTGAGATGTTAGGTGGAGGACTAGAGAATGAAAAGAGTTTGGAGCAGCAGATGAGACAAATGAAAAGGGTAATGACTAATTTCAAACTGAAGAAAAGGTAGTAAGGGTCTCTCTGGACTGGTCACACAAAGCTGTATTAGCATCAACCCACTTGGTTGTATGATCAAATTCAACTGGATTATACTAAATTACTTTTATATCTGGTGGTTTTAAAAAATAAAGAGAAGACTTCTTAATGAAATATGTAGAATCCTAAAATATTAACTAGCAAAACCTTAACTGGGGTTGAAACAAGACTGGGAGACCTAGAACCTCAGTGGCTTAGCTCCTTATCCTCTTGCACTGCCTGCAGAACTTACCATGGAGTCCTAGGACTCCAGGGGTGGAAAAGTAATGATTGCACGGCACTGTCAGCTTAGATGCTGATGTTAACATTTCTGTTTTCAACATTCATAAACTAAATTAGTTGAGAAAATTCTTTTTGTTTCTATTTTATATTAAATGCCTAATTTATTTCTCATTTATTACAACGCAAGTATTCAAAGCTATGAATTCACCTCTCGATTCAGTTTGTCTGCATGGTTCATGTTTCCCTATTTGGGTTTTTCCCTTTCCTATTGTATTTTCTACTTTTTCCCTTAAGTATTATTTCTAATTCAATTAAATATTTAATACCATTGTGTGCTACTACAGTACGGATATAAGATGAACAAGGGCAACATGATCACTATTCTTAGGTTAATTTTTGCAGTGACCGTGATACTTTTTAAATACTTCCTAACTTCATTACACTATGATGACAACATGTGACAACATGTGATTCTGTTTAGGAGCTCAATTTCTTTCTACTTATCTATCCATTCATCCATATACATATGTGTATATACACACATACACACACACACACACACACACACACACACACAGGGAAACTAAAGACTGACCCCAAGGGTGCTCTACCACTGAGCTACATCCCCAGCCCCTTTTTGGGACAGGGTTTCACTAAGCTGCCCAGGCTATCCTTGAGCTTGCCATCCTCCTATCTCAGCCTCCAGAGCAGCTGGGGTTACACCCATGGCCATTGCACCCAGCCACAGCTCAATTTCTTCGAGAACACCTACTACTCATAAGAAGCTTGACAGTCTGTTTTCCTTTTCTGCGTTCTAGGTATGCATCTCAATTTCACTCATTTTGAGTGAAACTGCTAGTTAGTGGGTTTAATTGGTTTTTATGGCATCCTTCTGTTTTCACTTGGTTTTATTTCTCATGCAACCTTACTTTCATTCAAGACTACTTTTATATCTGTACAGTAAAACCCACTTGGTCTCTTTAGGGAGAAAAAGATGGGTCATCTTCTGTTTCACAGAAGTGATTTTTTTTTTTTCATCAATTTGGGCCCATTACTATTGTCGAGCAATTTTTTCCTCCAGAAGTATTGTAACCTGTTTTGTCTAATTTTTTTCCAATTTACTTATTCTTAAATTGGATCTATTACTGATTATTGTGCTGTCCAATGACTCAAGACTGACCTAGCATCTTCTGTACGCTGTCCATGGAGAAAGCTGTAGAGCCCGACATAAAGAACACTGAGGTTTAAAATCTCCCCCTCCCCACCTGGCCCACTGTGTATGAAGACACCCCTGTGTAGAAGGGGGAGTGAATCAGGAGACAAGGGCTTGTGCAGCAGGGTGTCTTAACAGAAACTCCAACAGCTACTAGAACAGGACAGACCTAACTGGCCAGGGAGGGAATGAACCCCCTCTGCAGCAATGGAAACCTGAAGTCACCTCCACTACTGTTGAAACTAATGTCAGATAAGTGGAGTGGAGATAGTGGGAAAGGGAGAGGGAAGGGGGAGAGGGGGTAAGGGGGTGAGCGGGTGGGGGAGGGAGAGGGCAAGCAGCAAGAATATGGGCTCCAGGGGGCTAAATTTCCAGAATCATTAATTATTGCTGAAATCTCTATCAGAATTAGAAAATGCTTTCAATATCAGAATGTTATGTAAGAAATTAAATTGTTATATATTTAGAATAATATTTTGTGACATAAAGTATTATAAAGAAACCAACTATGATAAGAAAAATTCTAAATTCATAAAGGAATTTTGAACTCAAATGTTTAATGATAGTCTTTCACTGGAACTAGTAAATGCAACTATATTTTGTTTTATTTTAACCAAGAGTTACAAAAGATAAATTGGAGTGCTGAATCAAAGTTTTAATCTTACCCTGAAAAATCAGCAGAATATTGTCCATAATCAAAGATATAGACTCTAGTGATTTGGCACACTGTGAGGTATCCCAAAGCAAACACAAAACAGTATCTGGAAAAAAAAAAAAAAAGAAAAAAGAAAAGCCAGATTAATAATGATAAAAAAGTCATTTAAAGAGTATATTTTAAAGTAAGTCATTAATTAAATGATATGCATGAATGATTAAATCTCACTAGATCTACTCTCAAATAACGGGCCCAAGAGCACTCTACCAGGAAGCTATATGCCCAGCCCTACTTTTGTTGAGACAGTGTCTCACTAAGTGACAAAGGTTGGTCTTAAACTTGTGACTGTCCTGCCTCAGGCTCCTAGGTTGCTGGGAGCACAGGCTGGTTACAGGCAGTTGCAGCTAGCTCAAGTAACTTCATAAATTAAGAAAACTCTTCCCTAGTTATCTGCTTTGGTTTACTTGGCTACATGGTAAATGCAATCAATTACTGCCTTTATTCATTTACTTGTGAAAGACATCCACACATCATGTTACATATTTGAAAGTTATAATTACGAGCATAAAATTGTAATTATTGACATCTGCTGTGTCTACTGATTCTTATATTCTAGAAAACAAAATTTAGCACAAAAATACTTGGCTCAGATATACATTAAAACAAATTCTTAACAGGAGTCTAAAAATGTCCTCAGTAATCTAAAATCATAATCACACATCTTTGGTGTGGGTTAGGTGGCATTTAGCCACATTTAGATGTATGAACACTTAGTGACTTTCACCAACTTAAGACATCTGGGTTGGAGTTATAATAAACAGTATGAAAAATAATTCACATATCAATAGAAAAGAGCAGGAACATATTTTAGAATATATAACACTATACAGTGCAATAAAATCATGAGTCTACAATGTGAGGAAGTTCTGCCTTCACTCCACACTATGACAATGGACTACAGAATAAAACAAAATATATACCAAACAGGAACTGTGGCCAAAGATTCAAATGTTCTCAATTCAGGAAGGACCTTCTAAACATATACAATACAGAGAAATGAAAATGAAAAGTAGTGTACTTGACTAAACTAAAAGCTTCTCATGTAGGCAATTCAGGTGATTTTATGAAACTGTGTTTTTTTTTTCAAACTTTGAACAAGGACAAAGGGAGGACGATTTCCTAATTCAAATGCTGTACAAAGTTAACAAACCATGATCATTACACCTCACAATCATTACACCTGTGTGCACATGTGATCACCAAGCGCTCACAAACCAAACTTAAATTTCTAGAAACCACTCATTTCCTAGTCACAACATCTCTCATCATAAGTTTTCTGCAAATTTGCTTGCTTCCCCACAACGGGACAGTCTGTTTCTCTGTCCACCTCAGTCTGGGCCAGTCTTCTATATGAAACATACTGTGAGTTCCACACACGGCCCCTAATTGTCCTGGCAGTTGCTACTTCTTGTTCTTTTGGTGGTTAATTGTCATGAGAGAAAAGTGACGCTCCTGAGACCACTGCATGTGGGGGTCTGCAGTGTGAGACTGTGGAGGAGAAGGGAAGGGGGGCAGACACCAGGCAGGGGTGCCTCCAGTCATCAGGCGGTGAGTGAATAAGCCAATGGCACAGGAGAAAGAGAGGACCATTCAGCTGACCTTCCCAAGCCACAGAAACACAGTAATACAAGTCACTGTTTTAAAGCCACTGTGCTCTGATCTAGTGACATCATTAAAACAGACTGTAAAGCACTTTGGAAATGGGGTGCTTCTGTAACAAAAACATGAAACGCAGCACAGGGTTGGGGACTGGGTTGTGCTCAGAGGCAGAACAGCCCCAGGAGATGTGGGCTTAGGCAGGAAGGCCAGAGAGGGAGCTGGCCGGAGCCCGAGCAAGGCTAAGCAGGCAGCTGCGAAGCCGAAGCCGAGAACAGGAAACACACCTAAGGTTAACATTAGCCGGCTTCCTGCAGATGCCATCGCAAGGTACGGACCCAGACAGAAAGTAAAATGAGTGTTCAGGTTTTAATGAGGATATACAAAAATAGGAAGGCCCTTCTAGTCAGCAAAATGTTCTTAGTCAAGGTAAAGATGAAGTCAAGTGTCATCTCCAATGATCCCTCAGCAAGACTTAAAAGGCACACCTTCACAGAAGTTCTCCAGTAAAAGCTAGTTTCTAACAATCTCCAGGGCATGGCCTGTCAACCATCTGTTACAAAAGGAAGTCCCCCGCCATCCACTTTTATTTACTTTTCATTACTTTAAACCCTCAGACAGTATGGCACCACGCATCACAGATTCCTTTTCAAGCGGCCCTAGCATTTCAAAGAGTGGCTTTGGATTTTGGCATGAACCACACCACAGGCATGAGTTCTCTTTGCCCAGATAACTCTGGTTTTGTCCGGCTAGTCACTGAGAGTCACTGTGTTTTTCTTTAAGCATATTTCTTGCCCAAGTATAATTCATTTTTATCTCAGGCCTAAACACCTTCAGTATTAGGAAGAGCTCTGTGCTCTTTGGTTCCATAATTCCTTGCTTACAGACAGCAAAAATGGCCTTGCACCCCAGCCTTCCATACCTGCCCATGGGAAGTCCCGTTCCCAGCAGGCTTCTGCAGGCTCCAAGATGGCAGAAGAAGCAACAAGAAAGGCATTCAAGAACCCAAGTGTATTGTTGTTCCTGGACACTCTGACTTTCAGACCATGGTGGCAAGGAGATTGACTTAAAGAGGTTTATGAGTGTGGTTTCTGTCTAAAGTAATAGATTGTAATTAGAAGCACAGGAAGCCCACAAGGTTTTTTAAAGGCATTATAAATAGTTCAAAACAAAAAGAGAGGGGCTGGGGTTATAGCTCAGCGGTAGAGAGCTTGCCTCGACTTGTGAGGTACTGGGTTCGATCCTCAGCACCACATAAAAAATTAATAAACAAATAAAGATAAAAAGAGAGAGAGAGACAGACAGAGATAGATAGATAGATAGATAGATAGATAGATAGATAGATAGATAGATAGATCAATCAATCTGGGTCCCCAATTTTCTACTGGTAGGTAGTAGACTAGGAGAGCTTTTCAACTGTAAAGCAGGTTAATTTTTATGAAAAAGGAAGGAATTCACATCTGTCTGGACTTCACAATTGCTCTGGACCACAGACTGATGGGGCCTTCCATTCCCACCTTCTTTGAACAGAAGCATCTTCTACAGTTATCTACCACTGTTCACCACTAAACGCCAGGTGTGTGAGAGGCAAAACCTCCCTCTTCAACTCCTCCATGGAGAACTGTACTTGAGGCCCACCCTAGAGAGAAGCTCATTCATACTAGATCTGACTCAGATGAGAAGTCAGAGCACATGCGCCTGATGCTGCAACGAGACGAGACCCTGAGAATTCTGGGAGGACAGCGAGTGTCCGTTTCTCATGGTATATATGTGGACTATGGAGACTGTCTCTGAAGACTGCTGCCACCCATGACAACCCCCCTGTTGCACACGCTGCTCTTGGGATAAAGAGCAGAAACATAATTCTCTTCTTCTTTAACCTATGCGGGACTCAATTACTTGCTTTACCCACAGAATACAGTGTGCATTTAGTTTCTTAAATCTTAAGGCTACATCATAGGAAGGCTTGCAGTTTTAGCTCTGGTCTTCCTGAAAGGCTGGCCCTGAGTGCTCTCTCTGAGCCTTGGCACCATAGATGAGAGGGCTGAGGCCACATGCAGAGGCCACAAGGAAGTGCCAGTCAACAGTTCAGCTGATCACCAACTGCTCAGCCAATATCAGCTCAGACACACAAGGAAACCATGGTGGATATGAAGCAGTCAAGCTTTCAAATGACTGCAGCCTTGGCCAACATTTACAGCAGCCACATAAGACCCCAAGCAAAATATCCACCGAAGCCTAGCTGACACACACAACCAAGGAAAACCATAACTGTCATTAAAATAATCAGCTATCTCAGAGAAGCGTATTTTATGATTCTATGAGGACTAGTAATATATATATATTAGGAAAAAGGAAGGAAAATTGTGGTGTGTGTATGTGTGTGTATAAAATCAAAGTGATACATCAAAGGAAACAATAGATTAGAAGGGCATTTATGAAGATTCAAATATATTTCAACACAAAACTCTTAGTAAACTAAGGGAAAAAGTCACTTCCTTAACATTAAAAAAAAAAAAAGTCTACCTAAACATTCAGTATCTAGCCCACGAGGGGAGCAGGAGACAGGTGCATGTGTCAGCACAGCTCCAGCCCCACTCAGGTGGACGATGCAGGAAACATGGAAGTCCACTCTACTGAAACTGGTCTCTAAATTTAGCATCGCAATCCTAATCAAAATTCCAACCATACTTTTGGTGGGGCCAAACTAGCCGATTTCCAAGGTCCTCCGGAAAACTAAATAAACATAAGCCAAGGAAGACTTGCCCTAGCCCAGCAGATAAGAGAATATGCCATGGTGATTTATAATGTAGTATTGTTTCAAAAATAGATCAAAAGATTGAGCAAATGGGAGAAAGTTCAGAAAGACTCATTGTAAAATGGAGAGCCTGTTTATTATAATGCTGGCACATTTAATTAGTGGGAAGATGGATGAGGTTAAATGAGGTTAAAAAATTAGCTCATATTTCAGAAAGTTTCCCAGTTCACAGCATGCACAAATGTAAAAACAATCCAGTAAGATTATGGAAGACCCAGGTGTTAAAACAATACCTTAAAAAGTAAAATAATAAGAAACAAGAAAACACCCTCAAAATCCTACCTTGGACATAACTTTGTAAGCACAACAAAAATCACAATTGCCTGAACATTAGTCTGACATATATTATTACATAAACATAGAAACTTACAGATGACAAGGACAAAAGATTAAATATGTAACAAAATTATTTACTATCTATAGGTTAATGTTTTTAACAAATCCTTCAAGTCAATGTGAAATAGTAAGAATTTAAGTAAAAAATGGATGACAACATAAAGAGAAAAATTATAGAAGAAAAAACTAACCTCCAGTTCCTTTAGAAAAATAAATGAAACTCAGGACAGGAATAAACAGTAAAAGCCTGGAAATGCATATTAGGATGAAAATATCTGTCCAACAAAGGACTAGCAAGTTAAAGCACACACCGTCCCCGCTGGCTGGGGAAGACAGGCTACTCCAACACAGCTAGTGGACACCACTGGAACAGCCTCTTCTGGGCAGGTGATTCTGCAGAACACATTAGAATGTGTACATGTTCTCTGAAGTGCCAATTTCACTTTCTTATTTCACTTAATACACTTACAACAAAGTTTACTTACAAAGATGTAATGGTGGAAATACTACATGTCTGCTACTGAGAATTTCTTTAAAACTTTGCATTTATGAACTTAAAGTTAGTGGTTTTAAATCTTATCAAAGTGGAAGTACTTACACCAAGAATTTGGCAAAAGTCCAGAAGCATTCTATGGGTGTCAACTGGCTGTGTAAAATTTATAGTAAAGAGCATTACACATTTTATATGTAAATTATGTGGAAAAAATCGACTAGATTTATAATTATATAATAAATTCATGTATACCACTATCCCCCAGTATCCCCCACAGACAACAAAATCCAGCTTCTTCAGTCTCTTATATAAAATGGATTTGCATATAACCCACACTCATCTTCCTGTGCACTTTAAATCCCCTCTACCTTATTTATAATACCTAGTACAATATAAATGTTTTATAAATTGCTGCTACTCTGTGTTGTTTAGGGAATAATAACAAGGAATAGAGTCTGTACATGTTCAGTACAAATGCATTTTTTCCAAATATTTTCTATTCATAGTTGGTTGAACCCACAGATGTGGGGCTCACATATGCAAAAGCCCAACTGTGTACTTTTACATATATTTTTCCTCAAAAGTCAGTTACTTGTTAACTGATTAATTACTAGCCACATGTGATTGCTGGGCTCTTGAAACTGAGATCTGTTATAATTAGAAAATATGCCCCAGATTCTGAAGATCAATAATAAAAACAAAATGAAAATATCTAATAATTTTTATTGACTGCACTTTAAAAATGGTAATGTTTTGGATATACTGGGTAAAATAAAACATATTACTAAAATAAACAATGTATTTCTTTGCAGTTTTTTAAACTATGACTACTAGAAAATTTAAAATTGGCTTGTATTACGCTTCCACCACAGAGGCTAGGTGTTCTTGAAAAGGGGAGCGAGACAGCCAGCGTGGCTCTTCCCACTTTTATCTTTCTTTGGGCCCTGCACATGGATGTGACAGTTGCCCCAGCAACGCCCTGCATGCATGAGGACAGCACAGCAGAACCAGAAACCTGGTCTCTGGAAAAACCCTAATTCCAGAAAAAATTATAGGTGGAAAGCTTCTTTTCTACACTTTGCAACTGATAAAGAGCACATCAAATTTTGTTATCTTTTGAGAAAGATTGCAGGAAGGATGTTGGGCAAAGCTTTGATTCTTTAAGTTCATACATCAGCAGAAAAAGCAGATGTATTAGCCAATATGCAAATGAGCATTTTAAGTGCTATGGTCCAAGTATGAACTTCACTGAACATCTTCAAAAAATAATATGCACATGCAAATAAGACCTGGACAAACCTGAGCTGGATTTAGACAACAGCCTGGTTCTCTCCTCCTAATGGGCAGATGCCCGATGAGTCCGTCCCACCAACTCTGACACCACCAGTGCCCTCACCCTCCTGACCTCTGTGCCCTCACCCTCCTGACAACTGACAGGAAGCTTAGATCTGGTCAGTGAGACATGATGCACAGATTCTGGGCAATTCTCACTCTGAACATGGGGCATCTGCTACTGTCTGTCATATGAGAATATAGCAGCCACTTCCACTGATAAGAGGAGAGCACTTAAGGAATACTCAATGTGCTGGGATGGCAAAATACAAAATTAAGCAGAATATGCATTTCTGATGCTCTCATCAATCCTAAATTAGCTAAAACGAATTGCCCTGCCTCAAAACTTCTAGCTTTGAGAGGTGATACTTTCTACAGTTTACACCACAGTACCACGGACATGGTATTCTTGCTCTGTGTAGCTAAAAGTGTTCCAATACAATTATTACTAATATCAAAATTAAGTCAACAGCAAATGAAAAGTTCCAGAACAGAACATTTTTTTAATTCATGAAAAAATACACATGTTGAATTACTGCTTTGCTTCAAAAGCTAAAATGACATTTCTAACAGCTGTTCATTTAGGTATCAGACACAACCAAAATTGTTCAGGAAAAAACAAGGTGCTCAGGGAATTAATGAACTCAAAACGCTGAGGACACAGAAGAATTCTTCCCAAGCAAGGAAAACAGGTAACATCATCCAAAGATTTTGAATTCTGATGGGACATGGGCTGGGGATGCAGCTCAGGGCAGAGCTCTCACCAAAAGTCCAGACAAAACCCTGAGGTTCAGTCCCAATACCGAATAAACAAATACATGAATGACGGGGGGGAATAAAAAATTAACAATAAATACTTGTTTTATTGTGCTGAAGTCAAATTAAACAGTTTACTTTTGGAGATTCTCAAGCTTATATACCAACCTTTTTGTTTTGCCTGTGTGATCTTTAAAAAGTTGTTATCCTGCAGGTGGGGATGTGGCTCAGTGGTAGAGTGCCTGCCTAGCACGCACAAGGCCCTGGGTTCCATCCCCAGCACTGCAAACACAAACAAACAAAAACAACAAAAATACTATAATTATAAAAAAAAAAAAGCTAAATTGACTTCATCAAAATATAAAGGTTCTGCTTTTCCAAAAAAAATTCAGAACTTATCTACCTGGCAAAGGACAGAGGTCCACAATACAGAAAGAATTATAAAAAGAAAAGTCCAGCAGTAAAAGATTTGAAGAAAATATCTGCCAAGAGATGCACAATTAGTCAATCAGCACAAGAAAGATGCACGCCTCATCACTAATCATCAGAGAAATCAGGTGGCAGGAAAGATAAGACCAATACCACGGGACAGTGAGATGTACTCTCACACTTTGGTAGCAGGCATAAAGTGTTATGACCATTCTGGAAAGTTTGTCAATCTCTTATATGATTAAAATACTTTTTATCTTTTGCCCTAGCAATTCCTTTTCCAAATAAAAACATATCCACAAAAGACTCGTATAAGAATGTTCTATGAGTTTTATTCCTAATAGCCCAGATTTTGAAATAACTGAAATGTCCATTGATAAGAATAAAGATACATGAATTGTGGTACATCCAGAAAATGGAATGCTACTCGACAACAAAGAGGAACAAACTTTTAATAAACACAACATGAATGAATTTATTTAACATTAAGTTAAAAAAAAAAAGAAAAAAAAAGCTAGACACAAAAGACCAGACTATGATTCAGATTATTTGAAATTCTAGAGCGGGCAGAACTATGGTGATAACTGATCACTGTCTGCAGGGAGCGGGGGTTGGCTGTACAGGGGATAGAGCAAGTTTTGGGGATGAGTGAAAAGCCTGAGGGGTGGTGATCTACACATCTGTCCAGATTCACGGAACAGATATACTTTAGTAAAGTATATCTAAATAAAGTAGATTAAAAATTATTTGGAAACAATCAAATTTTATAGAATCCCTTTGCAGATTCCTTCTCATCCTGGGGCCCCAGGGTCCAGTTTCTTTCTTTTCTCCATTTATACTCATCTTCCCAGGATTTCATCTATCCCATCATTTAAAATACCCGCTCAATAAGGATAGCTCCCAAATTCTATATGTCTAACTGGACATGTCTACTGATGCCCAAACTCAAAGCAACAAACTACATAACTTCTCTACTTGGTTGTCTAATGAGTATCTCAAACTAGAAACTTCCCACTCGTCTGTCTTGGTAAAGGGATCATTCTTTTACCCAATTGCTCTGCCCCAAATACTAAAGTCATCTTAATATATCTTTATGACTTATCATCCCATGCCCAATCTTCAAAGCTATTTTCCTATCTCACATGAAATATGACTCAAACCCAAATCTACCTTCAAAATTCACCCTGGACCAAATTAGTTTCTACTTAAGCTCATCCAGGCTAGGACCATCATCACAATGTCCTGACTAGTCTACCTGTCTTCTCACCCCTAGTCTGCGGTTCACAGAGCATGCAGGTGCTCAAGACTTCTAACAGCTATCCACCACACTAGAATAAAATCCATGTTTCTTAAGAATGGTCCAGGGGCTAGGGATGTGGCTCAAGCGGTAGCGCGCTCGCCTGGCATGCGTGCGGCCTGGGTTCGATCTTCGGCACCACATACAAAGATGTTGTGTCTGCGGATAACTAAAAAATAAATATTAAAAAAAAAGAAAAAGAAAAAGAATGGTCCAGGATGGGGCTGGGGTTGTGGCTCAGTGGTAGAACGCTTCTTCATACTTGTGAGGCACTGGGTTCAATCCTCAGCACCACGTAAAAATAAATAAATAAAATATGAAGTTACTGTGTCCATCTATAACTAAAGAAAAAAAGAATGGTCTGGAATCCAGGTTTTTGTTTTTTGTTTGTTTGTTTTCTTTGGGGGGGGGGGGCTGGGGATTAAACTCAGGGACACTCAACCACTGAGACACATCCCAGCCCTATTTATACACACACACATATATAAGTTGTTAACATATACACACACACACACATACACACACAATTTTTTTTTAGTTATTAATAGACCTTTATTTTATTTATTTTTATGTGGTGCTGAAAATTGAACCCAGGGCCTCACACATTCTAGGCAAGCACTCTACCACTGAGCTACAACCCCAGCCCTATTTTGTATTTTATTGAAAGACAGGGTCTCATTTAATTGCTTAGTGTCTTATGATTGCTGAGACTGTTTTTGAACTCGAAATCCTCCTGTCTCAGCCTCCCAAACCATTGGGATTACAGGTGTGCGCCAGTGTACCTGGCCAAGTTTTTTTTTTTTTAAATTAAGTCTTTTCTTTGATTTTTATGGAAGAATGATACACATTTACATGTGTATATTTTGAGACCAGTAAAACAAGAAATCTATTGGTGCTTAGAGAAGCTCAGCAACACTCAAAGTACCCATCACTTGGGTAGACCACTGGAATCCCAGCAAGGATGGGGGAAGGTTAAGTTATCACAAGTGTCATCTCAAGTTAGGTACAATTTTCAATCAGTGTTGTTTTTACATTAAAATGGAATGGAGCAAAGTAATTAAAGACAATTTTGTTCTTGTTTAACTATTTCTTGCTATGCCATTCTGAGCCTTGCTTGTTTTCTCTCCCTTTCCTCCGAGTTTTGGGGACTACCAAGTGGAAACAGTGGTCTAGACAGAAAGGAAAGATCAGGTTCAAACTCCTAGGGGCTCACAGAAGCTCTAAAGACAGGGTCGGTCTAATGTGTGCTGTTATCTACAAGCCTCTCTCACCTCTCGGCATATCAACTTGCATCCTGTGTGTTATCTCTGTGACCGCGAAGAGAATTTACTTACCTCTAAGCCAATAATTCTCCAAACCCACATCTTAAGGCCATTCCTCTAGAAAGCTATTCTGAAATTTCTAAGCACAATTACACATTTCTGTTTCTAGAATACCCCATTTCAACAATTAAATAATTTAAATTATAACTCACCCAATCTAGCTAGACCATCTACTTCTTTTTGTTTATGTTTTGAGACAGGCTCTCACTATGTTGCCCAGGCTAATCTTGAACTCCTGGGCTCCAGTGATCCTCCTGACTTCTCCTACCTGTGTAGCTAGAACTATAGGCACATGCCACAATATCTGTCCTTTCTTTTTTCTTTTTCTTTTTTTGTTTTGTTTTGCTTTTGGTACCAGGGATTGATTCCAGAGACACTTCAACCACTGAGCCACATCCCCAGATCTTTTTTATATTTTATTTTGAGACAGATCTCACTGAGTTGCTTAGGGCTAAGTTGCCGGGGCTGGCCTTGAACTTGCAGTCCTCCTGCCTCAGCCTCTTACGCCACTGGGATTACAGGTGTGCGCCAATGCACCTGACTGTCCTTTATTTCTTTTTTAAATATTTATTTTTTAGTTGTAATTGGACACAATACCTTTATTTTATTTTTATTTATTTTTATGTGGTACTGAGGATCAAACCCAGAGCTTTGCACGTGATAGGTAAGTGCTCCACCACTGAGACACAATCCTAGCCCATTATTTCTTATCTATTTAAACAGTAACAAACATAAACCTAAAACCTCAAATTAATAAGGGGGTAAATACTATTGGGGTAGAAAATAAAGTGAGGACACATTAAATTTAAAGATGCCACTAATCTGAGAGGTATTTAGCAAATAATTTACGGGATCTTAGTAATAATTAACTAGAAAAATACCACACACATGACCTTAGTAGACACACAATTTACTAACATGCTAAATATAGACATGTATTTTTTAATCTAAAAATATAAGTCATGTTAGTGAAAATGTCTAGACATAAAAAATGTGTTGACCCAAAAATGAATGGAATAAAGGAAACGAACCATGAACATCCTATTTGTGGGTATAGTTCAAAAGAGGATCTGAAGTCTAACAAAATCAGAGATCTAGATTGCTTAAAATTTACTCATGTATTTTACTGAAGAATTTATCATTAGTGAAGTTGGTCCACTTTCATGAAGTAATACGTGCAAGGCAATCTGAAGAACTATTCTTCCATGAGATAGCATCTGAATGCATGCTATTATTCTGAAGTCAGCATTCCAAAGTGAGCTTGTCTCTGCTATATTTTTATGAAAATTGTAGGTGCACAGAGTTTACCAGTCAAAGGGTAAAACCTGGCCAACCAGACAGGCTCTGTCTCTGCCGGTAACCGGCTCACCCCTGCAGGCAGAAGCCTGCTCTCCCAGCCAGAGGGCTGTTTCCTCCAGTGTTCAGCACTGGGCTCAGCCACGCCAACAGCCTGGCTCCTTGGCATCACCACCCTCTGTGAGCACTTGGAATTCCAGCCTCCCTGTGAGCTTACACTCCTTAAGTGGAATTTCAGAACATGGAATTTCAAAAGAAAGCAGAAATATTTGTGTTTACTCTGCTGCAATTACCTGAAAATATCAGAATTTCATCTTAAAACCACTATCAGAGTATCGAATTTCTAAACTCTTCTTGGTAATTCCCTGACTTTTAGTAACAATCCACTTGTATTTGATGGAATTTTTATAAATTTGAAACGGAACACTTCTCACTCTTTGTGTGCAGGAATACATCCTAACACACACTGTTTCTATTACATTATCACAACTAATTACTAGCAGGTGATAAATCAATAACCAGCCAAGTCATGTAGTCTCTAAGGGCCAAGTTTCAAGGCCCTCCCACTGCTCCCACACTCAAACATACCCTCTTCACAGATACCCAGCAGCCAGTCTTCACAATTGAAGACAGCATTTCTCATCTTTTTCCTTAGAGTTGGTTTGTTAAAAATGTCACTTTGACACAATACACGTGATTTTTACAGGACTGAATAGAAAGAACAGCAAGATACAACCTGTCCACTTCAAGAACCTGCAATTGAATCAGACATCCAAAAAACTGAAGCAGCAATAGCAGGTTTTATGGGATTAGCTATCAAAATGCCACCACCTGGTCCCTATAGCCCACTGTGTTCCATCCAGAAATGTCTACCACGTTTTGTGATAAACTGGTTTCTCATACATCCTCATCCTTCACTAGACTGAGCTCCTCCAAGA